TTTCACGTTGTGTGTGTTGTGTCTGTGTGTCAGTGTGTGTGTGTTGTGTGTCTGTGTGTGTGTTGTGTGTGTTGTGTAAGGCCACTGCTTCACGTTGTGTGTGTTGTGTAAGGCCAGTTTCACGTTGTGTGTGTTGTGTCTGTGTGTCAGTGTGTGTGTGTTGTGTGTCTGTGTGTGTGTTGTGTGTGTTGTGTAAGGCCACTGCTTCACGTTGTGTGTGTTGTGTAAGGCCACTGTTTCACGTTGTGTATCAGTGTGTGTGTTGTGTGTGTGTCTGTGTGTCAGTGTGTGTGTCAGTGTGCGTGTTGTGTGAGTGCGGAGCCGCCGGCTGTGACTGCTCTCGGCAGCGAGGTCTACTCCGTGACGTCACGGCCACGCCGCGGCACGGACGACGAAGCCGGCGGCGAGGGTTGTGAAGGCGGCGCTCGCCCGGGGAGGGCGACACGGAGCAGTAGGCCTCGGCAAGGTAAGGTCATTTACCCTTTTTACTGGGTAAAAGGGTAAAGGTGTCCACATGCCAAGGGGTAAGGTAAAGGGCAGGGTAAAGGTAGCTCGGAAGAATTACCCGGTAGGGTAAAGGTAGCGCAAAGTGTTACCCGGTAAATACGGCGCCTTGTTTACCGCTAGAAGCTCCGTGGCGCAGTCCGTGGCCTCCATTTAATAAGTAATATTTTAAAAACAAACTTTATAAAAAACACGCTTTTATTAAATGTACTTGTAATGGCAGAACTCCACGACTCCAGGAAGTGGCCCCGAAACTTGCCACGACGTAAGGGACCGTGGCCAATTACAGGACCGGTTCAAATACTCGTCACTGGTATCATGGGACCTTTTTTTGCCAATGTGAAGGAATGATAATTAATGTGATTTTACCCTTTCTGGCAATGAAACTGGTGTTAAGATGTGCAAGCACCAAAGAGATGCATTTTTTATTTGTGTGTATTATTACACGCTTTTTATTAACTCAATCTGTTGTTGTATCCTCAAATCTTGTAACAAAAATTTTACCCACTTGCCAATGTGGTATAGACTGCAAACTTGGTATACTTATGTCATACTGATGACAATACTATATTGTATCATAAAAATTAGAAATTATATATTTGTAAACATTATTTTTTATATGTTATGTTTTGGCTAGGGTCTAATTGTCCACGGCCCCTTACGTTGTGGCAAGCTTCGGGCCACTTCCTGGAGTCGTGGAGTTCTTCCATTACTCGTACGGTACATTTCATTAAACCGTGTTTAAAAAAAAAGTATTTTTAAAATATTACTTATGTTTTGCCTGAAACATGCTGTCTCTGGTGCAGGCCAATCAGCTTCAAAGACAATGCACACATAATTATATCATCAGAGCATTTTTTTTTTATGTTCACCACAGGTGCGTGTGGTTAAGCAGACTTAATTTCTTCCAACTGCGATTCACTCAGTATCCCTGGCCCGTCTGTTTGCTATGAAGGCCCACTGCCCGAAACGTCGCCTAATTTATATACACACACACAATTGTTGTTGTTGATCTGTAGCAGTGTTGTTGAAGAATGTGTCGAGCTCTTTGATGAAGATTTTTTTTGACAAGAGTCGACACGAGTCTGGGGGGCTCATGGTGAGGGGGGCACGTGCCGGGGGGGGGGGCACGTGACGAGGGGGGGGGCACGTGACGAGGGGGTGGGGCACGTGACGAGGGGGGGCACGTGACGAGGGGGGGGGGCACGTGACGAGGGGGGGGGCACGTGCCGGGGGGGGCACGTGACGAGGGGGGGGGCACGTGACGAGGGGGTGGGGCACGTGACGAGGGGGGGGGGCACGTGACGAGGGGGGGGGGGCACGTGCCGGGGGGGGGGCACGTGACGAGGGGGGGGCACGTGACGAGGGGGGGGGGCACGTGACGAGGGGGGGGGGGGCACGTGACGAGGGGGGGGGGGCACGCCAGCCCTGCCGATGGAAATCGCGAGAGGGCAGCCGACGTGGAAGCCCCCTCAAGCCGCATCGCAGGCGGCGTGCAACACCGCCACACATTCGTTGGAAGGAGCGTAAGGGCCACGATGGGATACTGTGGAATGGTAACGCCGTCGAGGGGCACTGAGAGTGGCTCGGTCACAAGAAGGAGGGGAGAGGGAGTCGTTGCACACAGTGAGCAGTGGAGGAGGGAGACGCGGAGGAAGGAGAGAGGCCTGGAGGGAGGGAGACTTGTGTGGGCGACCTCCGAGCGGCCAGAAGAAGAAGAAGACGAGTAAGACCGCACACCGAGTACTCAACAAACTTATCAAGCGGCGTGGCTTTGCGAATCGCGATGCTGCTGCAATGGGGTTTACAAATGGACGGCCCTGGGCCGGGGGAGGCAGGGTGAGGCACGGGCGCGCTGCTCGCGTTTGGGTGCGCGTCCTCCCCTCCTCCTCCCCTCCTCCTCCCCCTCCTCCGCCCCCCCTCGTCCTCCTCACCAGGCCGCCTCGGTAGCGCCTTGCCGCCGCCACGCTGCGTGGCCATAGGGCCCCGCTGCGTGGCCACCCACCCGGCGTGGGGGCCCCAGGGCCCCACTGCTGCTACTCCACAGCGCCGGCCGCAAGACGTAGCCGCGCGGTGCCGTGGTAACCCGAGGCATTGCCTGGCAGATTTACGGCGCCCGCGGCTGCGGCTGCGCCCGGCAAGTTTGATGGGGGACAGCTGGACGCGCCACCTCGCTCGGCCTCGGAGCCGCATCGATGAGACGCTCGTTGCGTGCGCGATCCCCAACATTGTAATTGCTGTTGAGGCTGCATGAGGTGACATTTTTCGTGATCATATACACACATACTTATATATATATGGCTAAGCTAATGTGTCTCTGTGGCGAAGCTAATTGGTGTACATGTGTGTGGCCCGAAAGGACGTGCATCGTGGAGACGGAGCGATTAAATGCGCTCCACCACGGCTTATTTTGTAATTGCTCGATACACCCAGAAAGGCCTCGCTGAGTCTCAACAAAGACTCTCTTACAGGAGGGTCCTGGTGTTGGTATAATCCCAGCCGAGTAATTTACAGGTAATGTTTCAGCATTGTTTATTCAACACCAGTCGAAATGAATGTTTTACGAGATTTGAGAGGACACCAGTAAACCCGGAGGAAACCCGTGCAGAACAGGGTGAGAACATACAAACTCCGCACAGGAGGGAGCCCGAGGCAGGAATCGAACCGGGGGGCACTTGCGTGATACCACTGTGCCGCCTCCCTGCCACCCATGTGATGACCTGTGACCAGGTCAAGTGTGCAGTGAGGACCTGGCAGGCGTCTCCTTTTACAAGCGTCGCGTCCACCCGACACCGAGACCTCTTGGTGGAATTCCACCAAAAAAATGTTCGGCGAGGGTCAATAACCCTCTCACAGAGCAAGATTAAGCCACGAGTTATCGTCGTGGAGACTACAGCTTTCCGAGAGCAAGATTGCATCACCCGACTGCTAATGTCCACAGAGGGCCAGGACAATTCATCACGGACCCATCGGGCGGTCAGATTAACTCATCGCAGAGCTACGGGGACGGCCGTATCCATTCAATAACGGTTTAATATAAAATAACAATCGGGCGATGATGACTCCCCCAAGGAGAAAGGAAACGGTCTCGTTGGTTCAGCCGATCGGTTGCTTTCCCGAGGAAGAGGCCAAGGAACGCCTCGGCTTGGCGATTTGCCCGCGTTATGGTTCCCCGTGGCCGAGATGTCGGTGGAGGCTTTCGTGAAAAATTCCGCGCAACGTTTGTCAAGAAGTCACTCTGGCCCAACGTGGGGTGAAACCCAGAGGTCCGGTTTATAACGCGACATAACGTGTAACTCGTCTGGCAATTGTTTTCGCGAAGCACGCACACTTTCATTTAGGGTAAAGATGGAGAGACGCATGACTGAAGAGCAGGCGACGTTTGTGCTAAACCAGTGGTGGATGTCAAACGCATGTCTACGCAGCAACGAAGAAAAAAGGTTAAAAAAAACTCCCTTCAGCCAAATTTGTATCCATTTCATAAAAGTGTGGCTTGACATTGTCACTAATCCACGTTGGTGGTCACAATTCTTCCAAATATACAAATACAATATCTAGCTCGGTAAACTAACTTTACAGCCACCCTGCACATTTACTCGGGAAGCCTTTCCCACTGGGAATATAAACTCTGAAGCCACATTTCCATTGGTTACCCCCCTCGTCCTGCTCCCCCCTCGTCCTGCTCCCCCCTCGTCCTGCTAGCCCTCCTCGCCCTCCTCAACCTCCTCGCCCTGCTCGCCCTGCTAGCCCCCCTCGCCCTCAACCTCCTTGTCCTCCTCGCCCTATCCCTGCTAGACCTCAGGCCGACCTAGCTCCACGGCGCGCCTGGAGGCCACCGCGTGCCCCCCTTCACTCAGCGATCGCGCTGCTCATGCCCCGCGCCCGCTCCGCCCAGACCCGTTCCCCCCCACCCCACCTCCCGAGGGCCGGCGGCTGCACACAGTACCAGAGGGCAACGTCGACTGCCACGGCCGCCAGATTTATGGGAGCTCTCGCCGGGAGGGCGGCCGGTTCGCAGGTAACACTGGAGCCCCGCTCGCGAAAGCCGCAGTTTAGCAGATGTGAGCGGCGAAGCGCCGGGATCAAAGCGGCGCTCTCGGTGAGCCCACTTGTCTCAACCACGGCGGCTGCAATAGAATCTGCGCTGCATCGTGGTGGCAGTTTGGAGCCGCCATATATCACCGCGGCCCCTTTATGGTCATGGCATGCTAGTTCAGGCTCCCTGGTGCTGAGTTTCAGCGAAGTTAAATTCAGCATCAAAATAATAATTCCCAAGTTACAAGTCTGTCATTAATATATTGCCCATACAGTCTTGCCAGCTGCCAAAATAGTAATACACTGCACTGCACCCAAGTACATATACTAGTGATAGAGTATATCAGATTTATTGAAGTAACTCAACGGGGTTCGTTTAATTATCAAACACCGACACAAGACCAGCGATCGGGACTGTTTAGCAACCCTCCCAATGTGTGAGCTCGCATCCACGTCCGTACCTCGCCAGGGCCATGCTGCTAACGTGGGCTCCCGGCTCTCCTGCGGGGGTCTGCGGCCCCCTCTCCTCCCTCCTCCCCGCCGATCCAGGGAACTCCATCGCGCCTCCCAGACCCTTCAAGCGATCTGTCCGTCCGGCTGGCTGGCCGATCCGCCCTCCCTCCCCGCTCTGTCTCCGAGCGAGCGAGTGAGCGAGCGCCTTCGCCTCCTACACGTGAAAATCCAGGTTCTGCCGAGACAGGCGCTCCGGTCCGTCCGGCCGGCTATCGGCAAGTCACTCGGCGGCACGACACGACGTGGCGCGACGACCCGTGCCGACGCTCGGGCGTTTTCTGGCGTAGGAGACGGTCGTTGGAACGGAGAGAGAGAGAGAGAGTCCGCGCGGGGTCGCCGCATGTCGACGCGGTCGTTCGTCGTCAGCAGGTGCGCTCGCCAAGCTCCCGCACGTCCCCCCCCCCGCGCCAACCGCTCGGATTTCGGGTTTGCGCGCGCCCGCTCTCTCCCGCGTGACGCCACTCGGAGGGTAGAAGGCGGCGAGAGCGCCGAGCTAAAATTTAAAGAGCCCCTGCCACGCCGTTTGCCCAGCCTTCCGCTAGTCCGAGGTCAGGGTTCACCGGCTCGGCCGAGGGACTGAGGGGCCTCACGGAAGTCGGGACGGCGCTGCGAGGAGACGTCGGATGCCGCCTGCGGGGGCGGCGACTGTGGCACGGGGACTGCGGCATGTTGGCGGTGGCACAGAGCGGGGAGGGAGAGGGGGGAGGCGCTGATTTTGATGATCGCCAGGTAAAAAAAAAGGGCCGTCTTGGCCAGTGCAGCGTTAAATGTTTTTAGGTGGTGTGATGTAACATCAGCTCTCTCCGTGCAGTCTGTGGCACCGGTTTTGTAAATTTGAACCCGAGGGCGAGCCAGCAACATTGCATGGGTGGAGATGATGCTGTCTACTAGCCCTGTATTACGAACAGACAAAAAGACAACGTGAAGACCTGGCCGGGCGCGTGCAAAAACGTAATGTGCAACCAAGTGAACAAACTCAACCAGAGCAAAGCGTCCGACTGGGAAGAACACATTTTGTTTGTTATCCTGCATTGCCAATGTTTCCTCAGCACCTCCGATTAGCACGGTTGGCTACATACGTTGTGAAAGTTCAGCCTACGAACACATACTCGACACGCTCGTCCAGAACACAAACAATAAAAGGGATACATTTTTAAGGGTAGTGTTTTCGATGAATGCAATCGAGTTTTTTTGTTAAGACTGAGAATAACACTGGTCAACAAAAAACATATTTTTTTCTGGCCTGGACTTTTGCAGCTGTTTTAGACTAATTTCAGGGTGCTGATTCAAAATCTTATCTCAGATTTGCTCTATCACTTTTTATACTATCGGCATACCCCATTTTCATTGATTTTACCCGAAATTAACTCTGTCACTTATGATTGCAAGTTGTTGCAAGTCAGTGACTGCTTTAGTGTTAAAATATGGTGCTGTAATTTTAGGATAGTGTGTTTATAATATCATTTTATGTAGATATCCACATTTATTTAATATTTTTCTTCTGCAGTTTTTATTGAAAATTCAATATTTGATATCTCAATAACCTGATGTGATAGACAAAAACTGATGCCAGATTTGGAATCGGCACCCCAAAATTACCTTAAAACCGTTGGAATACCTTATGCCAGAAAAAGTGTGACCAGTGTATTTCAAGTCTTGGAAACCAACGGATTCTTGCAAAATCACTGGACATTCATGTTTCTCCCAAGATGCTCAAGCGAGCTTGTCTCTCTCTTTTCTGTCCCACTGACATAAACATTCCCTGTCTCTGGAGGGGCGCCCTGGGGGCCAGTTGCTGTCAGAGCAACTGCTCAGGCTAATGAAGTCAACACCACGGCCTCCGTGGCTTCGCCAGCCTGAGGCCACTAAGGAGAGGCGCTGGAACGTGTCAGGAGGGACGGCTTCTGTGAAGTCACGGCAAAGCTACATTTAGTTTCTGAGTCACCTCAGTGTCCTGACGATTTAAGACACTGCTCTCACGCAGTTGTGGCCTTAATCTCTTCGTACGTTATGGGATTTACTTCTCTCCAAAAATCCCTTCGAGCGATTCGCGTGGCGATGAATCGGCACCGCAGGTGGTGTCGTGCCCTATAGTCGGTCGTGGAGACATTGACACGTGATCTCCTAAAACATCAAGATATTCCTTGCGCTCTCTTCTCCCCCTGCCACTGTTCAAGCCTAGGCTGAAGCCCTTCCCCCTTCTCCTCTGCCTGTACCCAAACCGCCTCTCTCTTTCTCTCTCCATGCAGAATAAACACGGCCACCGTTTTTTGCGCGGCGTCTTGAGATGCGGCGACATTCGATGCCACTGCTGTGTAAATCGACGTCGTATCGCGATTGCAGCCGTGCAGATTTTGCTCTCTCTGCTGCAGAGACTCTGCGGGATCCCATGCTGTCCCAGGGGGCCCCCGCTGCGGAACGGATTGCGTTTTTTCTGAGACTCCGCGGCCGTAAATCTCGCGTAGTGATTTCGGATAAATCAATGCGGTAATTAACGGGATAGCGTGTTCACGTCTCCGATACATTTGAGGGGCACGCAAACATCTCTTTCCTAGGGCTTCCCCTTCCGGACGGGGTGGCTTGTCGGCAGCTATGGTGCCGCCGCTGCCGCCACTCGACGTGGCGGCGGAGGTTGGTATCAATCGACGTTGACGTCCACACGCATTCTCCCGTCGCATGCGTCGATCGTAGAACTCCCGCCCCCCGGGGGATGCCAGCCCGGCCGCTCGGATGCCTGCGCCGCCACTGCTCCCTCCCGCTAGCCAGAGGAGCACGTGGCAGCGCTATAAAAAGCAGCGCTGCGCGAGGCGCAGAGGCGCACAGGCACGCGGGCGCCGGCTGGCAAATATGGCTCCGGCGAGCCGCGAGCCAGTGCGGTCGGGACTCGGGAGAGAGGGCGGCCGCGCCGTGGAGCTGCCGGAGCCACCATGGGTGTCGTGGGGGTCCCGACGCCCCCTTCCCAACACGGCTAAGAGACCCACGTGGAAAACTTTGGACAAATCTCCTGGTATTTTTCAGTCCGCGTTTTTCTCCCTTCACCGAGGCGTCGTTTCGCACGTCGCGACGGGCCTGGATTTCCACCACCTGGTTAAATTAGAGACACCGCGGGCGCCGATTGTGTCGACGACGACGGAACCTGTAATCGCATGGCAGCGCGCGCAGTCGGCTGGGCACGGAACTGCGGCGGCCAGCAGCTGCGCGGGTTAGCTGTGACCCTGGCCATGGGAGAACTCCTCCGTGCGTGGTGAAGCAGACGGGGCAGGGGGGTGGGGGTGGCGAACTGCACGGATCCCGCCGGTAGTCCACCCTGTAACTACAGGTAGGCACCCCCCCCCCCCCCACGACTTCCACAGCACGGGCCGGAGGAGACGGTGAGACGTGTGGAGGCGACGGAGCCGCGCTGCCGATGCTTGCCCAGGGCCGGCTAGCGCAGGGTCTCCAGTGTCGTTAGTCGAGCGATAATCTCCGCGACTCCTTGATGACCCAATTTAGATTCTGACATCGGCTTGAGTTTGGTGACTTCTCCCAAGGCGCGTGTCACATTACAGGGCCTTCTCGATTTTAAATATATCGCAAATGCCACGTGCGGATTTTGGAAAATTACTTTGTATGTTCCACTGATGTCTTCATACCGCTGAACGTTACGCTGTGATGTAAGTTTTTAGTATTTTTTACGTTGTATAAGATTGATGTAATTGCACTGAGAGACAGAGGTGGTGGAATAAAGGAATCACGGAGGAAGAAAAAAATTAAGGGATCATACCGACAATTAAGAAAACCTTGATGGGCTGGCGCTGGACTCATCGCTTGACTGGATGATGGTCGATGGACGACACTGGTTACGGAATGGCAGCCCAAGGAGAGCACATGCCCATGAGGACGTACGTTTGGAGATGGAGCATTGAGATTGGTTTAAGTGCAGTCGTCAAAATGATGGATGGTAGCAGCGAGAAGCATTGGACCATGAAGAATGGTGATGGCTTGGGGAAGCCTTCAGCAGTGGATAAACAATGGCCGATGCGGTGTTGAGGTGTAATCATGCAGTGGCGAGATGTTAACTACCTCGCCTGGTATGCAGCAGGTCGTGGGTTCCATCCCGACTGACGCCTGTCTATTTGGAGTTTGCATGTTTTCCCCGTGGTCGCGTGGATTTTTCTCCAGGTCCTCCGGTTTTCCCCTCAACATTTAGAATCAATGTGCCTTTAGAGTATTTGTGGCCTTACCTGGTAAAATAAATATAAATAGTTTATCTTCTTGGTTCGGTAAAGTCACGTAGAATTGAAATAATAAAAATAAAACATAATAAAATAATTATCACGACGTTTCGGCCACAATGCAAGTAGCCGTCTACGTGACTTTACCGAAAGAACCAAGAAGATGAATCCCTGCAGTCACGAAAGCTTTAAATCGAAAAATAAATAGTTTAGTTTAAATAGTTTATAATACGATGGCAAATTCGCAACCTGTCAATCCACCGGTGCGGGTGATGACACCGCAAGGGTGCACCCTGACTGGGCCTCGTCGGGACGATCGTGAACGCAGGGTGAATGCACCAAATCGTCAGTTGCCGAGAGAGAGGCGGACGAAGTCCACCAAAGCACGGATTCGGAACCGCAGCCAACACTCAACGAGCAAAGTGCGGCACACAGTGGGTGCTCTTCCGTGTAAACGCCCCCGACACGCACGAGGGCTCTGCCAGTCGAGAGAGACGAAAGCCAGAGTTTGGTCGAGAGGCAAGACGCACGACCGTTAGGCTCTGTTGATATCGGGGCTGACTCTCGGATTAACCCTTTTTTTAATCTCGAGTTTAAAAGAAGCCGAGAGACTTTCCAGGCCGGCCCCTGACACCGGCTCGATACGGGAAACCGTCCCCCGTGGATCGGCGCATGCAGAGGGGTTACGTCCACCGGCCAACGGCCACATTTTGCGGCGTGCTGGCAAAATTTAACCCGGCTCATAAAAGCCTGCTGGGAGGGGAATGACATTCGAGCCATTCACACGCTTCCAGCGCTCGGCTCCAAGAAGCTGTCACGGCCGCTAAACGCGTTTCCCGCGGCCACCGCCAACGTAGTCCCATTGCCGGGCCATGGCGCCGCCTGCTCACGTTCCAGCGTGACGCTGCGGCAAGGGGGCCCTGCCGATGTAAATCAATAAAAAAAAATTATAATTGTTCAATCGCTTCGTGAGAGATATATTTGTGTCTGCACCGTTTCCGATTTCTTCTGTACCAGCGGTTTTCTCATTTTGTTTTATTTGTTTTTTTTTACGTGATTGCTTTCGTAATTCTGGTGACGCAGGTCACTCTTGCAAACGAGACTCACCCTGTTAGCTGGAGCTCACACGTCGTGAAACAAAATGAGCTTTAAACTTTCTTCAGCTTCCACTGAATCGCAAATGCCTTTTCACATTCGATAAAAAGCCACACGTCAAACTGTCTGGTGATAATTTGTCTCTTTGGGTTTGAGCGATGGCGTGAATATTTGGTCAGTGGTGGGAATCATTTCCTAACCCCATCGCAGTGCCGCCATCACGTGGCCACCTCGCAGCCAAAGCCTCTTCCACACCTGGCATCCCATCTAAGTACTAACCAGGCTACACAACCTGCTTAGCTTACAATAGCTGACGAGACCAGGCACGTTGTTCAGGGTGACTTTTGACACAGGCGAATGTGACACCGCGGTGACAGACCCATGTCACACCCGTGTCAGCGTAAAAAATACCCCAGGGAGCCCACGCCCAGCCTATCGACGCTACGCCCCGTCAATCAGCACCGCTGCCGCCGCACCAGGACGGACACCTCACTATCGTACGGCCACCCAGAACTCGCACACGAACCCTCGACATCGCCACCGCTCAACCGGCCCACGACTCGCAAAGCTCAATAGCTGGGACGCGGAGAACATGGACATAACCAGCGGGGAACGTAGAAACCAACGAGTCTGGCGTCGAGCGAGCCGTCGCGCCGGACAACCAGGCTCGCACGGACCACATGGAATCAAACACCCGAGAGAGACGAGAGGAGAGACACGGACCAGATGGTGGAGGTTATCGGCAAAGATTTCAACACGAGCCACAGTGATTTCCTGCTCAAACGAGCATCGAGTCGGTGCTCAGATTCTGTTTGCGGTGGAAATTCCACATTCGTATGGCGGGGGGGGGGGGAATTCCAACATAGGAAAACCACTGCTGACGTATCCACAGTGGCACTCATTCAATCGAGCCCAGAGGAAGGGATGATGAGCTTGAGTCAATCCCCAACCAGGAATTGAACTCGCGACCTTCCGCAAGTGAGCCGCATGCTCTAGTGCCAAGCGATGCGGCCAAATTAAACAGAATGATTTGAACACAAGGTAAGAGGCGAGGCCGTCTTCGGGATGCACGCTCGCTCGCTGTCCACACCTCTCAGAGAGTTTAATGTGAATTCGTGTAGCGAACGGAGATTGAGACAGCGTGTTTTGGTCACCCGTATTTATACCCAGAGCCACGTGACTGACGGGACAGACGGACAGAGACAGTGCGCTGTGAGCGTCGGCAGTTATTAGAGGTCACATACACATTGCACGCACGCACATCCCTCGAATAGACGACACAGTGCACCGTGCTTCGCACCCGGCTAACATCAGTGGTGAGTGACATCTGAAACAGTCCGGGGCCTCCCGTATGTCTGTCTGCTCCAGCCTTAAAAACGAATACCTGGTACGGTGTGTAGTAAACATCAAACACTGGTGCTGCGAGCCACACCTAGCCAGCTCCGAGAGATGCTCGCTAACGTCACTTGTCCCAAGCAGTCTGCTAACGGCTACACCAGGCGTCTTCGTCAGCCACAGGCACGCGGACACGAACCTCGGGCGTGAGGTTTCATCATCGCCAGTCCTAGAGAACCATCGCGGCCGAATCGATATTTATCTCACCGTGTTAAACCGCAAGGGCGTTTATCATCAAACGGCGGCTCATCCACACGTGCCTCCGTCGCACCAAAACCAACAGAGCAATCGGCGAAACGCTTCCCTGCGCCTGCAACGGCGCCCAACTTACACCGCGACATTTAAACAAGAACCGACGCAGAAGATTCCTGGGTTTGATCTTCCACGAAGCTGCTCATGGTCCACCCTAAAGCCGCATCCACTGCACCAACCGTGGCAGCAGCAGATGCACAAATGGAAAATTAAAAACTGTCCAGTGTGCGACTGTGGTCATCCAGAACAGAGGAAACAACATATATAACGACGCGATGCCCGATCCACAAATGCGAAGGCGACATCACAGCGATGCACTTCTCGTGATGCGGTTGTCGGGGCTTGAGCACCTGAATGTGAAAATTGTGGTCGTTGCTCAGCATCTACATCAGCAGCCGTACGAAAAAAGAAGATTTAAGCGCGCCGCATCGCGCTCATTACCAGCAGGGATGTTATTTTCTTACGATTGAATTTCCCCCGTGAGGAATTGGCCAAGCAGCGGGAGCAATAAGCGAGTAAAATTGGCACGGCGAGGGCTGCCAAAGCGGCGTGCCAGTGGGGGACGTGGAGGAGGGGGGGAGGGGGTTGAGCGGAGCGTGACGGCAGCCGTCGGACGAAGGGACACGGCGATCTACAGCTGCGGCGATTCGTCGCTCAAGTCTTATCGATCGGCAACGCGATTATAATCGATGCGCGGTCCATGACGATAACTGGCGGCCGCCTCCAGCCCATCCCTCCGCCGGCTGCCCCCCCCACCCGCACCAGCTCCAGTGAGACCCATCGCGTTGTTCCCGAACACCGCGATCTGATTAACGCGTTTCGATGCACGCGTTACGAGGCAGGCGACGATCGTGGGGCCGGGTTTAGGATGGGGCCGGGGGGGGGGAGGTGCAGACAAGACATTTGTCTAAGACTCTAGAGGGGCCCCACGCAAAAAAAATATAATGCATTTTTTATATATATAAAAAAGTACGACTGTTTATTCATACAATAACCTCAAGAATCTCATTGTGAATGACATAAACATTTCACCATTATTAATCGTCGCTTTATTGTTTTAATCTTATCCTTAATATTTTCCCATCTGACATGAATATTCCCACACAGCCGGGGGGAGAGGGGGAAGCAGCGGGGGGAGGGGTCTCGGAATTCCACGCTGCTTGAACAGGGCCTTACGTCGATGATAATTACAGACATGCAATGCGTTATCTCTGGTGAACATCAATATGCATCAGAATCTGTATTTATTCGGGAGGAATCCGATGAGCTATGAAGCTCTTTTTCACACGTCCAGTAGGGGCAGGTCAGAACGTTACAACAAACAAACAATACACAAACACAATCAGGGTCTCGGTGGGTGTGGGGGGGGGTATGCCCCCCACTTGGATCCTCTATCTTACCCGCACCTCGTCCCCACAGAACTCGCAGGTCACACAGCGTAGCGCGAGAGTGGTGGAGTGGGGGGGGGGCGTTGGAATGGGGGGGGGGGGTGTTGGAATGGGGGGGGCGTTGGAGGGGGGGGGGGGAGTCGTTGGAGTAGGGGGGGGGGTAGTTGAAGTAGGGCGGGGGTCGTTGGAGTGGGGGGGGGGCGTTGGAGTAGGGGGGGGTCGTTGGAGTGGGGGGGGGGGCGTTGGAGTAGGGGGGGGTTCGTTGGATTAGGGGGGGGGTCGTTGGAGTAGGAGGGGGTCGTTGGAGTAGGGGGGGGGCGTTGGATTAGGGGGGGCCGTTTCGGCTGAGGGACAAAACATTCCTCGGTGCGGCCAATGCGAGTGTGGACGCGATTTTGACTTCGTGAGAATATAACTGGCTCCGTCAAAGTTAAAAATAATTTAACTGAAAAAAAAAACAGTTAACTAAGATTCTGCGCTCGGTTTCACAAAAGACATGCGTTTACTTTATCTGTGCATATAAGAACACGCAAAACGTGTGGAGATTCATTATTACTGATAACAAGTGACGTTTTATTTTTAATCAGCAATCCGAACGTCGAGTTTGTTTCTCGCCAAGCGCCGCACGCTAACGAGCCCGCCGGACGGACGTTCAACGAACAACACAAATCAACGAGCAATGGACATGCCGGAGACCCCGAATCCTATAAAATCCATTTAAAATCGACACCTTGTGATGAAACCGTCCTTTCACAGACGCTCGTGCGAGGCACGCACGCACGCACGGCGGCACGCACGGCGGCACGCACGGCGGCACGCACGGCGGCACGCACGGCGGCACACACGTATTCTATACCTGCGCGTGCCGTTCATTTGCCGTCGGCCAACGCGGCCACCGCCGCCCGATGAGCGGAGGGATGAGCGCGACCGCTTCACTTCCGCTTGCAATCGGCGACTGCGACGAGGGCACCGTTACGGCCGGCCGATCCCATCACGCCCCCCCCTGTGCCGGGGGGAACACGCGACACGGAGAGAGGGGCGGAGGGGTTTGGGGGGGGGGGGCAAAAACCGGAGGTGAGGCGGGCCGTGCGAGGAAGAGCTGGCACTCGCACCCGAGTTGAAGTCAATTGCCCGCAACGTTTCTCGTTTTACGTCCGAAAAGGCGCAGCGAGCGGGCGCCGTGCCCCCCTCCGCGCGGCACCGTCCTCTGCCCACGCTCTGACGTCGCCCCCCCCCACCCTCGCCGTCCCCCGCCGTCGCACCGAGCGACGGGGGTGGGGGGGAGAAGAGCCGTACCTGGGTGCGCGCCGCTCCCGCACAGGTAGAGTCCTCGGACCGGCGACCTGTAGCTCACGTGGGACGATACGGGGCGGGCGAAGTACAGCTGGTCCAGGGACATGGCGCCGTGGAATATGTTCTGCGGGGCGGCAAGGGGTTCATCGACGTGAGTGCTGTCCAAACACGTGCCCCGGGGCGCGCCGCGTGCGTAAGCAGCCCGTTTTTAACGGCGGGGGCACACGCACGCGCGGGCGCGCGTGTCGCTGGGGCGCGAGCACACGGCCAAGTGTCGACGTCTGAACGATGCTTACACATGCAACCGCTTCCCCAGGGGGGGGGCGGAGGGCGCCGTCTCACGCGCTTACACGACAACAATCCCCCCCCCGCTCCCCCCCCCAAACTGGAACACGCGCGGGGTTAAAAACGGGGACGTTAAAAAGGGGAAGGATCGCGGCGCGGCGTGTCGTACCCCTCCGGTGAGACCAAACTCCCTCTCCAGGTCGGCGGGGGTCAAGATCTCCCGGCCAATCACGGACGACTTGAACCCCGGAGCGTACTCCTCGATGCAGTCGAACACTGGGGCGTGGGGGAGTGGGGCGTGGGGGAGGGGGGCGGCACAGGACAGGCGGCGTAGCCTTGAAGACCGGCGGCTGCCGACAGGCCACCTCATCGCCGCTGCCGTCACCGGCATCGGGAGCTGGGTCTGCAGGGGCCGTGGCAGCCGCGGCCGTGCGCCCGGAGTTGGTCACGTTCCACGGACGGCAACGTGTCCACGGTGACCTCCCCGTCGCCCTCCCTCGTGTGCCCTCGCTAATTTTAATTTCTCCTCAACGCAGCAGCGCCCGCGGCTCTTTCTCTCTCCGCAGGGGGTGCGGTGGTTATTTTGGTTGAATGTGGAATTACACCTCTTCGAGGTAAGAGCGAGGGGACGGTGTTTCTCCGTGGAAAGGTTACGGCTTCGAGCGCGGATCGCCGTATGCAGCTCCAACACAGAAATGTAACGTGCTTGTTGCGAAATACAGGCAGCAGCAGCAGCAGCAGCCGCCGCGAAATTAATTGAAGTTTAATGTCGCAATTGTCAGTCGTCTGCCGTTCATTAGTTTTGATTACTTGACTAACATCTCAAGAGGGTGCGGTACGCCCTGAGGAAGTCCTGTTTAGTATTCTGTCGGGTAGCTTTTCTTACGTCACTAGACACTTATATGTTTAATAAATAAAAAGTTGAGTTAAATATAAATATTAGCTAATAAAAAGTCGTGTACAACAAGTTCACTGCACACAATAATTGCTGGAGGAACACATCTGAGAAACATAATCTAGGAGGCATCTCTAGGGGAAGTATGTAAGGTATATCTAGGGCAACTGTAGGGCAAGTGTTTAATGGCATTGCATTTTTTCTATGAGTAGCCAATGGCTGATGACGGTGACGATGAGGATGATGGTGGTGAAGTTTTTTCGGTCCTCACTTAACGCGTGGTGTTCACACAACGCGTTTTCGCCTGAACGCGATTCTTCCATGCAAGAACACTTTTTACATAATGCAGAAAGCGCCCGTCATAACTTGGAACACGCGCCATTATAATGTGGAACGCACGCCGTTATAACGCAGAGCTCATGCCATTATAATGGGTCGACGACAAACTACCGTGATACAGTAACACGGCAGCGTACCCTCAGTTGTTTGTCCCCGACATCTGACTGTGTGCGCGTTTTTCGCTTGACGCAGCACTTTTCAGGAACGCATCCACCGTGTTAAATGAGAACTGAGTATTCCACGTGAATCAGCTCACAGGCACAGAGCTCAAGTCCTCTGAAAGAATCCCCTTCCAGCTGCCCCTCTGCAGCATGGCTGCCCCCAGCTGCCTGGGTCATATGACAGTGGCGGCCGGAGCCCCGAGCGGAGGTGGTGCCGGAGGGCGGCGGCGGCTGTTGTGGTGGTGGTGGTGGTGTTGGTGGTGTTGGAGACGGTGGTGCCGCTGCTCGGGCGTCGCGGTCGGTGCACCGGGCCTACCTCGATCGCCGTAGGCCTCCTTGTCGGCCTGCGTCCAGGCGCGTCCCCCGGCGAGTAGGTACGGCGTGTACTGCGTGAAGAGTGACACCACATGGCTTCCCGGAGGCGCCAGCGTTGGGTCCAGTGCCGACGGGATGCACAGCTCCATCATGGGTCTGCAGGGCCGGGGCACACCAGGAACAGGGGTCGGCGCACACAGCGACACCGTGCGCACATCGGTTATGCCACCTGGCACCGTCACACCGCCGAGGTCAGCGCGCACACCGCTCTCCGGACATGAGTGCACGTCCCCCTCTGCTCGTATTCCTCCACCCCTCTCTGCCGATGTTACGACCGCACCTCTGTCTCCTTGCAGCAGTCGCATTGCGGATGCAGGTGTGACATCAGTCGAGCCACACCGCTCGTCCACACCTCGCTTCTATCACTGGAGCGCAGGCAACAACACGGCGCTTCCCAGCCGCCGCTATCGGCCGTGCTGGATCTGTGCAGTAATCCTCTCTGGGAAGGCCGGCTAACGAAATTTTTTGAAAATACTTGGCCTTTAGCGATCACGTGCGCTCGCTCGCTCGCATGCACGCGCGAGCGAGCGGGCGTCCTCCTATCGCCCGTGGCACCTCACACAGGCTCGCACGACAGCACCCGGCGAGGCTCCAGGCTTTTGTTGTTCGATTGCTGTCAAATGGAGCGCGTCGCGACGACGCGGGGACTCCCCCCCCCCCCCCCCCCCCCCCCCCGCGGGGGACACCTGCTAAACGACGCGCCACTATCTCATTAAGGAACATCCCGGGCGATAACGGCTTTTGAATGAAGAAGAAAAAAGGCCGATGCAGCTGTCACAGCGCTTGGGGTTGATTTGCTTTCAAAATCTTTCCGACAAAGGATCAAAGCACTCGTGTGTCAGCTTCGCCGGTCCGTCTGTCCATAACCGGAGGAGGGGTCACACACAGTGACCATTGTCCAAGATGAACGAAACTTCGCTATAAAGTTGTGCTGCAATTAGATGCTCACACGACTGAAAATCGGCCAAGTCGACTGGTAAGGGTTATTGGAGACCCAACACAGAGTAAAAATTACTAAGTGCAAACATGCGCGCGTGTTTCACCCGGGTAGCTTCTGTCGGTTTCCATGCGGCGACATAAAAGCTACTTGCGGAGGATTTCCTATGATTGTTGCTAGAGCACGGCTCTTCCGCAACGCACTCTCGGGCCGTACCGCGTCGTGATGTTCGACGTTTCGCGCCACGTCATGGGAGCTTCTTCAGAAACGGAATAAACACTCCCGAAGACAAACATGTTTCGAAAAGCCTTGATTTGAATTAAATTATCGTTTCTGCTTCCTCTATCTGGCCAGGTGGCTCAGCCGATTACGAGTGAGCCGCTCATAATTGGAAGGTTGCAAGCTTAGATACTGATTGGTGAGGGGGGGGGGGTTGACTCAACCCATCATGTCTGCCGGGCCCATAAATTAACTACCACTTTGCAGAGAAGTCAACAGTGTTCGGCCGCACACTGCGCGGCCTTGAATTGGCGGCTCTGATGGTGGTGGCGGCCGGGCAAGCCAGCCGGCCGGGCGGGCCAGCGGCCGAGTCGGGCCATACCGCGTGGACGGGGCCCCCTGCAGAGCCTCGTGGTAGCCGCGGTCCAGGCAGGCCATGTCCCACGTGTTGAGGTGGATGGAGCAGCGGTGGTGCGCCATCGCCTGCCCCGCTCGCTCCGTCGGCGCCGCCAGGAAGTTGGGGAGACGGTCCACGGCGACTGCGGACAGAGGCAGCAGCACCGGGAGACCTCAGAGCATCGTTAGCCATTATGAATCCACTGCTGGATGAAGAACTACTCCTGCAGTCACTTGCGTAAGTGTATTTATCCGCACGAGGTATGCATCTTTCATATGCCCTGATCGTGTAAGTATCAGAACTGAATATAAACCAAATGAAGTATATATAAAATTAAAAACGATTAACTTTTTTTTATTTTACCATTTAAGGCCCACTGAGCTGTATTGCTCTTTTTCAGAAGCAACCTAGCCATAAATGATAGCTCAACGAAGTTGCTCATCACGTGGACATTTATAGCAGCCAAAAACTATAAACGCATGTTTCTGAATGTGGAGGGAAAAACCGGTGGACCAGGAGAAAAATCCACATGATCACGTGGAGAACATGCAAGTTCCAAATATAAAAGCGCAAGTGTTTCATGGCATGGTCGAGATCGAACCTCCTGTATACCAGGCGAGATAGTTAACATCTTGCCACTGCGAATATATATTCGGATGATGTTAGTTTGCGGGCAGTTATAAGCATCTGGGTTGTGACCACCACACGCTGCACTTGATAATCCGGTAAAATCACAGGCGGTTAAACCCGGATTCGAACCGCCGGTGCAAATGAATATTGGTTCCCCTGAGTGAAACATTTATACCCACCAGCAACCATCCGGTAAGGGTTCGGTTCATTGTAAGGCACCATACACGCAATGTTGAGCAAAAGTGTCACGGACACGTTTGGAGAAGTGGCCCTTTCGTCGAGGTACTCGTTGTAAATGGACGGACATTGAGTGTAGACCAGGTCCTTTACAAACACGTCATGGGGTACGGTAATACCCCGATTTACATCTCTCCCCCTTGTACGTCTTTACGCAAATTACGTCGCCACTTAATCATGAACACCCCGTCCCGATTTGCGTCGCGTCAACACCAGACACTCACGTCGCTGACAGCGTCGTCCGTGCTCTCTCGTTATCCGTCGCCTCTCAGCCCTAGACCTCCACCACCTACTATCCTGCCAATGGCTTTGATTGACGTCATTTCGATATTCGTTGTCGCACCTTTCAGGAATGCATCCCCGACGCAAAGAAACAATCAGGACGAGAACTGATATTCCCAAATATTGTTTCCGAGCAGGAACCTTCATTGCTGGCAGAAATAAATGTTTTGAGGGAGAGTATATATATGGAGCATACAGATATATTCTCTGATGCTGGCTCAGCGATCACTTGGCAGAGTTGGACAGCCACATGGCGGGAGGCACAGTGATTGGTGTTGTGTCGGTGTTGTGTCGATGTTGCTGTTATGTTGCGAGAGAAAATGGCAAAAAATAAAAGAGTCGATACCGTTGATTTTGGTGACAGGAGATGTGTAGTCAATCTGAGAAACCTCTCGGAGGAAGTCAGCCGGCAGGGCATCCTGTGAGGAAATCAGAGAGCGTGATGCGTTTCAATTATTATTATTATTATTATGTTAAAATAAAATTTCAGATTACCAAGAGCCAGTAGTTTACAAAGCCTGGACTGCATCTGCTCAGGTGTCCTTCCACTCTCGCGCTTTGCCTGGGCCTCTCAAAGCCATCCCATCGTGTACCGCTTCTCACCTGCAGTGCGATCGTTCATCACTAATGTCCAGAGAAAACGCGCACTCTATACGGGGAGATATACGGGGAGGGAGGAGTTGAAAATCGTGCTCGCTGCACTGGCATCCCACTGGGGCCGCCAAGCAGCACAGCGGGTTTGGGAGTCGTTCACGGATCCCTCTGTAATCCACCAACCAGGGCCTGGCATCAACGACAATTGCAATCACAGCAGCATTGTTCACCAAACTTAGCGCTGCAATTGCAACTCGTGAGGGATGACACGGTTATATTTAGAATTGACGACACGTCGGGCCACCGATTCGATCCACGGCTCGATTGAAGCCCTCCCATGGGTGCAAGTTTCACCATACTGATCCGCGCTGAGCAGCGACGCGTTGTTGAAGGTCGCCGGTGCTTTGGCGTGGAGCACAGAAGCACACAGTGCGACCATGGACAACTGCTGCGCTGCCCCCTGCTGGCTACGACGTAGCCCCCCCCCCCCAACAGGCCACCGCTGTGCAGGGCAGCGCTGAGCCAAGGAGAGCCTAGGGCACCGTTCGAGATATGACCCCGCCACCAATGTTAGCTGAGGCCGAACTCGGGTAACTGACTCCATCGCGCAGTACGCTGACCAGTGTGCCACCGCTTTACCCCAGACAGCATTCAATTAATCAATAAATCAATCAATTAATTGAATCATCACTTTCAACTGGTTCTTCGTTTACCCCTCCGCTCCGAGACGTTTGTTACACCACGGGAGCATTGCACGCTGATGTGGTTGTTATGGTTCTTGCGGTTGTTGTTCTTGTTCTGGTAATTTATTGTGGTTGTTGTTGCTATGGTTGTGGTTGTTGTTGTGGTTGTTGCTGTGGTTGCTGTTCTGGTTGTGGTTGTTATCGTAGTTGTTGCTGTGGTTGTTGTTGTGGTTGTTGTTGCTGTGGTTGTTGCTGTGGTTGTTGCTGTGGTTGTTGCTGTGGTTGTTGTTGTGGTTGTTGCTGTGGTTGTTGCTGTGGTTGTTGCTGTGGTTGTTGCTGTGGTTGTTGTTGTGGTTGTTGCTGTGGTTGTTGCTGTGGTTGTTGCTGTGGTTGTTGCTGTGGTTGTTGTTGTGGTTGTTGCTGTGGTTGTTGCTGTGGTTGTTGCTGTGGTTGTTGCTGTGGTTGTTGTTGTGGTTGTTGCTGTGGTTGTTGCTGTGGTTGTTGCTGTGGTTGTTGCTGTGGTTGTTGCTGTGGTTGACGGTGGGCACGGCGTCGCACCTGCGGCGTGAGCTGCGTGAAGGTGACGTGCGGCGTGGCGTTGGACAGCACCACCTTGCTGCGCACCTCTGTGCCATCGCACAGCACCACCCCGGTGGAGCGGCCCGTGCCGTCCACGAGCACCTGCTGCACCTCCTGCCAGTGGCGACACGTGGCGCGAACACACACAAAGACAAAGATCCCCCGTATAGCCTTCAAAAGACTGTCTGGGAAAGTGCTGTTAGCGAGCGCCTATGAAGGCCGGCACAGAACGCGAGGAGATGGGTGGCCAACACCACGCCCGGCTGCATTTGTCTCCCCAGTGGTGATATTTACACACCACGTACTAGGTACTCATTATGGCTGAGTCGACCAAGGGGAGGTCCATGACCAGTTCAGATATATAATCATCACTGGTGTTGGCCGTCAGCGTGAATCAAAAATGGGGTCGCCGGGTTCCTAGCGCATGCAAGTACACACACACACACACGCGTGCACACACACGCGTGCACACACACGCAGGCACATAAAGATGACACCTGCCCAGCACACTTTATCCCGATCGTGCTATCGGTGTCGTTTAGAAAAACGACACCGACAGCCAACATTGGTCCAACGGTGCCAACCGCATGCCACCGGTGGGACGGTGGGCTACACGCACTAAGGACCCTGGGAGGAGGGTCGATTCTGTTGCCCCGTTTTTGGTGAAGATGTGGGCATTTTAATACAACCTTATGGGTGATCCCAGTGGGAATAATGCGGTGTCAGTTGAGTGCACGTGTGAGCGGGTGAGTGCGTGGACGACTGAGAGAGCGAGTGGGTGACCGGTTGCATGGATGATTGAGTGAGTGAGCAAGTGAGTGGGTGAGCGCTTGATTAAGTGGGTGGCCAGAGTGGATGACTGGTTGCGTCGGCCATGAAGAGGAGCGAGCTGTTGAGTCGGTGAGCGGGTGAGCGGTTGAGCGGTGAGTACCGCCTCAGTGAAGATGGACGCTCCGCGAGAGATGGCGCACTTGGCCATGCAGGTGGATACTGCGCCCATGCCACCCTCCACGTAGGCCCACATGCCCTTGACGCCCTCCAGCTCGCCCATCACGTGGTGCAGCAACACGTACCTAGCACCATCGGCATTGCCACAACGACCACTACCATCACCATTTCCACCATAACCAACACTACCACCACCACGACAACCACCACCATGACCACAACGACCACCACGGACACACGTTCAGTTCTTTTGAGATGGTGGTCTGGACAAGGCCGAGAGCCCTTGTACATGGCATGCCGCGCACGTGTGTGCGTTGTTAAATCTGGGAGATTATGGAGCAGAGTAGGAGTGTCCCTGACCCCGTGGGTTCAGCTCACCCACTGCCCGGAGTCCTGGGGCTGACCATGGCTCCAATCACAGAGTCCGTGGCAAGAGTGGCCTTCAGAGGCTCCGACTCAAACCACCGGTCCAAAATCTGTTGGGACATCATCATCGTCTTCAGCATCATCATCATCAGTAGCAACAACAGCATTTACATGACTATCATCAGCGCAGCAATGACATCATGATCATCATCATCATCTCACGATTGCTGTCATCATTGCCATCACCAGTCGTTGCCATTGTGACCATCATCATAATCATCATCACTTGTGTCACAATCATACCATGACCGTTGTCATAATCACCATCATCAATCAATGCCATAATTTAACGAGCGGAGACGCTGACTACACTGAACGCAGCGAGTGCGGCGCGCTAACCCAGTCGCCGCAGGCCTGGCTCGTGCGTTGTTGTTGTTGTTGGTGAACGTGGCCTTCTCACCACGCTTCGTGAAAGGACGTCGATGGCTCCATCCGTCGGCGTGACCAGATCTGTCTGGGTCGGCGACCCACAAACATATCCCCGCACCCAGGACACCACATCTGGTATATCTGTCGCGACGGCTGTGGCGACCAGTCACGTGCCACCTGCTACAGTTTACCAGTGGCGTGCAATATATTCGGGGAGAAAAGTAAGCCCGGTTTCCATTTGCCAACAACGGTACGAATCCTTCAATGCACTGCGATGATGATGATGCATTTCGGCCGATGTGTCGTGGCGTGAGCCTGGCTCGGGTGTCTCGCGTCTCTCTCTCTCCTCGCCTCGCCCGCCCACTCCTCTACCCGTCTCGCCCCAAAACTCCTCCAGCGACTCCCAATTTCATTTTCACAGAGACCGCGTCGCTAGCCAAACACCCCCTGCGGGCTCCTCGCTTCCCCCGCGATCCCTGCACCTTGGGGGTGAAAGACCGCGCGGACGGTTGTGGAAGTTAAAGAGACGCTTCCGCCGGCGACTGCAGGAGCGCAACCAACGATGGGGCACACGGCTCGCCTGCTGACAGCCCAGCCAGCACCGGTGAACCGCCACACCAAGGCGATCGAGCAGCTCACCAGCCAACGCCTCTCAGTCGGCTAAAGAACCCGGGCATTGATTTGTAACTTTTCTTGCTCTTCCAAAAAAAAAAAATCGGTTGCTTCCCCTCTGCGACGCGCCACACGGGAGAAATAACCGCCCCCTTGGATCGTGCCGCCAACTTGGAGTCATCTATCGTACGATTCACGGAAACTCAACTTGGTGGTGGGGGCCGTGAGGAGCTCGTAAAACTTGGGAAGATCCTTCCCCAGCCGGCGCACTGTCGCAGGGAGCGGGGGGGGGGGGGGGCGAGACAGGCACACAAGTTAGGGTTAGGGTTGCGTGGGAGCGGGGGGGAGTAGGATAACATTTGGGTATTATAGGGGGGGAGGGGGGGCTGCTGAAGTAACATGCAGGGACATTCGCGATCAAGCGCTCGCCACTCGCCCCACCGCCAGCAACGCCGTCGCCCCTCGGCCTCGCTAACCCCATCGTCTGTGCCCTGCGCCGGTGTGCGGCGACCGCAGAGCGAGCGATCGCGGCGCCTCCCGAACGAAGCACGGGGTACGACCCGGAGACACACCCGAGGGCCGTCCAGCGCAACCATAAGCACCTTCGCACCGCGCGTCGCCGTCGTTCGCTGGGTCGTTCCGCGGTGGCGGGCCTCACGTTGCCGTGGGCCGCACGAGACAAAGCCGCGGGTCGTGTCTGGACCACGGGCCGTAGGTCGCGAAGGGCGGATTTCTGTCGGTGCCTCGTCTGGTACACAGGAGGCCGTGGGTTCGATCCCGACCCTGACGCCTGCTATATATTTGGAATTTGAGTGTATCTCTCCCCGTGGTCGTGTGGATATTTCTCCGGGTTCCTCCAGTTTTTCCCTTCACATTTAGAATCGACATCACGCGTTTAGAGTCGTTGGCTGCCGCTATACATTTCCACGTGATAAGCCACTTCGTTGAGATGTCATTTGTGGTAGCCATGCCGCTTCTGAAAAAAAGAGCTACATAGCTCAGTGGGCCTTACTTGGTAAAATGAAGAATAGTTTTTAACAGTTTAGCAGAGCCGGGCCTGGCGAGTTTCGACCGAAACCCGGGTGGCGCGACTCACCGCAGCTCAGGGCGGGCAGGAAGGACTTTGCGGCGCGCAGGCGCGAGCCGAGGGGGCCACCGTGGAACCCGGGGACGTCGGGCGGCGGAGCGTCGATCAGAGGCTCCACGGCCCAGGCCAGCTTCTCCATGAGCTGCACGTACTCTGCGTACGCCTGCGTGCACAAGATGCGACAAACGGCGCAACAAAGTGGCGTTTTTCACGTGGAAAAAAAATGACAGCAACGGCCAAATGCTCTAAATGCGTGTCGGTTCTAAATGTGGAGGTAAACATCTGGAAGACCCGGAGAAAAATCCACGTGAATACGGGCAGAGAAACATGTAAACTCCAAATGTAGAGCAGGCGTCAGAGTCGGGGTCAAACCCACGACCTCCTGTATATCAGGCGAGGCAGTTAACATCTCGCCACTGCAGAACCCCTTTGGCTTCTTTGGTGATCCCTGAGTTGACTCACCGCCAACACGTACAGATACACGCACAGGTACACGTTTGCATACCTCTGTGTAAACATTTGCATATCTCTGTGTACACATTTGCATACCTCTTGCGTGCACGTGTGCGTACCTGCGTACACGTGTGCGTAGCTGCGTACACGCATCAGCAGACATGTGCATTCCTCTGCGTACCCACACAAACCCTCTGCACACATCTTGAGGTCCTCATCCAGCAGTGCACCGACAGGCTGTACGAATACTCATTGCGTGAACTATGGGTGATGCAGCGCTCCAATAATTCACTCCACTCACTCACTCGGTGGTCAGTCTCCTCCTCATCACCCGTCTGTAACTACCACCACGGTTTCTACTCCCGGCACCTTCGCTCGTTGATTCCTCTGCCCATGTTGAGGAATCTGCCACACTGCACGGCATGACATTTCTCTGTCTGCTCCCTCCCCTGCCCTCCCATCGTCTCTTTTCCCAAGCACAATTCAATGCTCAAGAATTAAAATTACACGAAAAAATGCGTTACACTCTGAGCTATTTCAACGTTGACAGTGCCGCTTGTCGCCGGCCGCTTGACGTGTTGGGCCTCTGGGCCTGTGGCTCAGCGATCAGCTGAACGTTCAAGAGAGAAATCGTGCGAAGAAATCAAAATCGCGTCGCGTGGTGGTGCTCTTGCTGGCACGTGGCGTCTCTGCGCCAGCCCCCCCGCCCCTCGCCCTCCCCCCCTCCCCGCGCGTATTTGCATTCGGCTCGAGGGCGGCGTGACACGGGCGGCGCGACGGGTCGCAGGTGCGTCTACAGCTCGCGATTTGCCATCCGTGCCAGCACACTCCCTAGGTCACGTGGGCCGCCACGATGAGATTCCTGGAAAGAATCCGGCGAAGGTTCCACACCGCACGTCCATCGTAACCGAGACTTTTTCGGCGGCGTGAGCAAACGCCGGCTTTCTTCAGATGACGTGGGGCTGAAGAGCCACGGTGGATCGAGGCGGAATCGCGTCGAAAAAATGCGGCAAGGGAGCAGTCTCTCGGGATTAAGGGGGGGAGGTCACAGCGTTCAAGCGCAGACGAATAACGAGGCAGCGAGCGGGCGACCACGAGCGGCGGCTGCGTCGGTTACTTTGGCGTCCCTCGCGGAGAACCTGGCGATGCTCCGCTGGTTCTCCTCCATGTCCATCCCCAGCAGCAGCGACGGTGGCGGGCGGCTCACGCTGCCGTCCGACGGGAGGGGGTTGAAGGAGTACGGGTCGCGGGGGTAGAGCTTCAACCCGAACTTCTACAGAGAGACGCAAACACCAAGAACCGCCACCCCCTCACCTCCACCACCACCACGTGCAACCTTTAAACAGACTGTGAGGGGCAAGTGCTGTACACGAGGTGGTGTGGCCAGGCCACCTTTGTCTCCCCGGGGCTGATGCGTCACACGCAGCATCAGCTACTCGTTTCAGGCACAGTTGACCAAGGGAGTAGTTCGGACGTCACTCGCCACTGATTTTAGCCGTGGCTGGGATTCATACTCAGGTAAGCCAGATTTGTAGAAAAATGTGGTAATCCAAGCCAACTCTAAGATCCCTTCAATTGACCTCCAGTCCACACCTTGAGACCCGCTTTGTCACCGAGGGTAATGGTTATCTCGGAACAGTCAAAACGACATTCAGATTCAATTATCAGAGTTGGGGTTTAGTAAGATTAAGTGCAGAACAAACATTACTCTCATTCTTATGCGTGCAGTTGTTGGTGACTGGGCTGAGGCCATCAACTCTCTGCACTTGAGCACCCAAGTTTAACCACCCGGTTTAACCACCCAGTTTAACCACCCAATTTTACCATCCGGGCTTAAACACCCAGGTTTAACCACCTGGGTTTAACCGCCCGATTTAACTACCCAGTTCAACCACCCAGGTTTAACAACTCGGTTTAACCGCCCAGGTTTAACCACCCGCTTTGACCACCCGGATTCAACCACCCAGTATAACCACCCGGCTTAAACCACTGACTGTAATCACCCAGTTTAACCACCCAGGTTTAACCACCCGGGTTTAATCCCTGGGTTCAACCACCCGGGATTCACTACCCGTTTTAACCACCCGATTTAACCACCCAGGTTTAACTACCCCGGTTTAACCTCCTGGGTTTAACCATCTGGATTTAACCACAGGCAGCAGCTAATAACCTGGACTGGAACCAAAGCTCTCGGCGCTCTAATCTATGAGCAGCAGTGCCACCTCTTTTGATAGATTTCTGCACTCGGCAAAAAGAGAAAAAACCGAGCACAGCGGAGAGAGAGATGGGGGTGGAGAGGAGGCAGCTCCGTACCTTCAGCTCGAGGTCTTTGTAAATCTGCGGCCTCAGCAAACTGAGCACGTAGGAGGCGCGGGAGAACTTGAACCCTGAGGGGCGACACGAGCGAGGGGAGGAGACGGCGCGAGGGGCACCACGGTGGCGAGATGTTAGCTACCTCGCCTCCTATACAGGAAGTCGTGGGATCGATCCTGTCTATTTGGAGTTTGCATGCTCTCCCGTGGTTGCGTGGATTTTTACCCGGGTCCTCCCACCACATTAAGAAACGTGCGTTTAGAGTATTTGGCTGCTATAAATTCCCACGTATGGTAAGCCACTTCGTTGAGGGGGGACAATCTGCCAGGGGGGTGGAATACACCAGAAGACCGGACGTTATCCCTGACATTAACCTGAACCCAAGCAACCCGAAGTGACATTCACTCGAGCCCAGGGGTCGGTCACCTGTGGCTCCTGAGTCGAATGCTGCTCTTTAAGGACCGCCGCTTCGTGACGTCATTCACGAAGGACCACCGTCTCGTGGTCACCCGCAGTGCATTGCGGCTCTTGAAATATTGAAGTGTTTCACCCAATTCGAACAAAAATGGCTCCTCTTGTTGTTTTGGTTGCCGACCCCTGCTCCAGCCGCCGCTACCCTTGACCCGAAGCACACGAGCCAATCAGACGTCAGCTCTGCCACTAAGCCTAATCATAGCCAAACAAATCAACTAAAATTACAGCCTCCTACCCATAACCGTAACAAACTAGCCAATCACACGCCAGGCCGGTGGTGTCGCAATCGAGAGGTGCAGGCTGTGCAGCTGCACCGGGCCCCGGGCTGGGTCCAGGCAGCAGCTACGGAGGGGAAAACTGGACATTCATTCCTTGTGCCAGGGCACGTGCCAACCACGCTGGTCCAAGCCTGATCCACAATAGCCAACCAGACCTTAACCCGACCCCTAAGTCAAACTCTAACAGTGCAGCCAAATTAACTCGAACCCCTCCAAACTAACTCGAACCCTATCTCCTTCCCCACATCTCCGATTCGCACGGTTGGCAACATACCATGTGAAAGAAGTTCAACATGAATGCACACAACAAACTCTCCAAACAGCCCTGAGCTACAGTATATCCATTCCCTTGACCGTCACGCCAGCTTTAGCCTCACCTCTGGTGCCTTGCCCCAACCCAGTTGCCACTTTTTGTTTTGTCGCTCTAATTGCTTAAAGAGGCACTACTGCTCCTTGTGGGGGAGAGGGGGGAGGGGAGCAGGAGAGCAGAGGGTCAGTGACATCTGACTCACAACACTGACCTGGGACGATCTCCTCGGTGATGGCCGCTCCACCGACCACGTGCCGGCGTTCCACCACGGCGGTGTCAAACCCGGCTTGCTGCAGGTAGGAGGCCTGGTGATGGGCGTCGGGATTAGTGGGGAGCAGGGGGCATGGTTGGGGAGAGGGTGGAGACATCAAACGTCCCGGATTGGCCGGGACAGCGTTGATTTCAGAAAGTCTCTCCTGGTGCCTCTCTTCCCAACCCTGAAGGTTTTGTGAAGTTCAGGAATTCGTCTCTGAACGACATCAGTAGGGGGCGGGCTACCTGGCTAGTGGGCGGGGTTACCTGGTTCGTGGCTGGGCTACCCGTTTAGTGGGAGGAGCTGTGTAGTGAGCGGGGCGACCTGGTTAGTGGGCGGAGCTACTTGGGTAATGGGCGGAGCTACCTGTGTAATGGGCGGAGCTACCTGGGTAGTGGGCGGACCTGCCTTCATTAAATAAGGAGACAATTCGTTACCTCCACACGGGAAATAAAAGTCATGTTTTTAAATCTCCCATCGGTCACAAAGCCTTCTGGGAGCTGGCCAGATGTTTACCGGCAAATACCCCCTCTGTTAGCCACGGCTCCGAGTATAACATTGTGACTGCTAAGAAAACGCAGCTCAAGTCTCTCTGCACTGCTGTGGACATTACTGTGTGGCAGGGTTTGCCGGGGCGTGCGGTGCGATGGTTCCGTGCTTGCGCCCGGCTCTGCGAGTCGTACTCACAGCAACTAGACCGTTGTGTCCTGCCAGGATGAGAGGAATAAAACTCGGGATTAGAGCAGATCTAGAAAAGAATATCCCCCTGTAGCCTCAGACTGTTGGGGAAAGTGCTGTTAGCGAGTAGCACCTATGAAGGCCAGAACGGTGCACCAGGGGGTGGGTGGCCAACACCATGCACGGCCGCCTTTGTCTCCCCAGTGGTGGTGTTTGCACACAGCACCAGGTACTCATTTGAGGCTGAGTCGACCTTACGGAAGCCAAAGACCGGCTCATATATTCGCCACCGTTATTGGTTGTGAGCGGGAATCGAACTCAGGTCACCTAGTTCGTAGGGCAGCACGCTAACCACTGTGCCAGCAAACTAAACACGGCCGCACACAACTGTGGCGTCACGTTCATTTGGAGGTCCATTACTTGGTTTAACACGTAGGCTTTCGCGATCAATATTATTCATAATAAAGGTTTTTGGGTTAGATCGCGATATTCATAAATGTGTTCCAACCCTCCACCACCCGACACGGCCAATCAGTAGAAAAAGTGTCACGTTGACAAAAGACAAATAGTTCATTACTTTAGCCCACCGGTGTGTTGAAGAGTGAATCCACAACAATTATTATTTTTTAGTACGACGTTTGGCTGGTAATTACATCCAGCATCATCGGGCGATTTGCCAGAATAGTGAAGCCCTCCACTTGCTTCCGGTCTTAAATAGAGCAGAAGGTTGACGTCATCATTTAACCCCATCAGATCAGAGGCGGAGGGGTAATTGTAATGATATAATAGATTAGTAATCAGTTATTTGTTATGATCCCTCTATAACGAGTTGTAATTTGTATTATTTAATAACTGAACCCAATCACTATACTCAAGCAGGTGCAGAAATGGCGGAGGGGGGGGGGTATTGTAATTATATACTACGTTAGTAATCAGTGAATTAGTATGTGTTTCCCCCGATTAGGAATTGTAATTGTAAAATGTATTATTTAATAATACGCTTCCAGGCCACACTAAGCCTGTAGCTGTCAGAGCGATTGAAATTATTTGTATTTCTCTCAATTTCGGTAAATTCTCTAATCAGTCTTGGCCAGTAATAATTCGTTTTAAATGACACTTCAACGTTATCAATTGAGTGGCTTTGTTGGCAAGGCCACTCAATTGCCACTGCCGACAGTTGTTTGAGATAATTTAATATTTATTTGGTGTTATTTTAGTCTTACGCTGATGTTACGTACCGTCTGTCCAATATAGCATCTGCCACAAGCAATTAATCCGATAAACATGTTGATAATTTAGGTAATTCGTCTTTCGTACAAGATACAGGTACTATTTTTTTTTTATAAATTTGTGTACTGTTTTACAAAAGCAAAACATTAACGTAAGATTTGGTACAGAAAGTGACGGTAAAAAACATACGCAGCACACTGTTACATCCGTACGTGACATCACCGCAAAAGAGCCCCCCCCTCCCCCACTAGCGCAGAGGAAGGTCGAGCTCAATTAAATAATTTATTACGCAAAGTCACTTAAAATAAGACGTTTCCTTACAGAAAGTGACAGTAAAAAATAAATATACACAGCACAGTGCGACATCCGTGCGTGACGTCACTGCAAAAGAGCCCCTCCCCCCTTCATAAATATTCATGCCCGCGTGGAAATTTACACGAACGCACAAGGTCGCGCCCTCCACATGCCGCACCCCTCCCCTCATTAATAATCATGAGCAGGTGACGTCACTCCACATGCCGCACCCCTCCACAATAACCATGAGCAGGTGACGTCACTCCACGTGCCGCACCCCTCCACAATAACCATGAGCAGGTGACGTCACTCCACATGCCGCACCCCTCCACAATAATCACGAGCGGGTGACGTCACTCCACATGCCGCACCCCTCCCCTCGTTAATAATCATGAGCAGGTGACGTCACTCCACATGCCGCACCAATCCACAAGAACCATGAATGAGTGACGTCAATCCACATGCCGCACCCCTCCCCAATAAACATTAGCGGGTGACGTCACTCCACATGGGTCACCCCCCCCCCCCTCATTAATAATCATGAACTGAACAATTTTTCGATTGAATATTTCAGATTTACTGCAATCTACACCCGTCCTTGGACGGGCACACAAGCTAGTCGGCAATAACAATGACAATTCCTATAGCGCCAAACATGGCCAGCTGTTAGAACGCAACCGAACAAACAACAACAACAGACTCATTTTCTTGGTTCTTTCGATTAAAAGTCACGTAGAAGGGAAATAATAAAATAATAAAAATGAAACATAATAAAATATCATTCTCACGACGTTTCGGCCACAACGCAAGCAGCCGTCCTCAGGTGAAGAACAGGTCTGTCGGAAAGACAGCGTCAGACGCTGTGGCCGAAACGTCGTGAGAATTGTATTTTATTATGTTTATTTTTATTATTTTATTATTTCCCTTCTACGTGACTTTACCGAAAGAACCAAGAAGATGAATCCCTGCAGTCACGAAAGCTTTAAATCGAAACAACAACAGAGTTTAGCAAGGGATTGAACACAGTGCAGACGTTAATGTTGATTCCGCACTACGGGTGAAACCAGTCGACTCCTGGCTCGTAAGTTTTGAGGTCACAAAATGTACAATCTTGGCTTTCAGACTGTGCTGTATTTTGAACAAATATAAGCGTCCGAACCCTTTTATATCATGAATGTAATTGGCATCGCTCACTCATTCGCGATCATCGGCATATGTGAGATGCGTAACAACAGCACGACAGAGGGCTGTGTTGGAACACGTTGATAACCCACGTATTGTTAAGCAAAACCCATGCTCAGGTGTTGTTGAAAACTTTACAATCCACTGTTGCTAGGTTAGTAGTATTGTATCTGTTTTATTTTATTTTGCCAGGTAAGGCCCACTGAGCTATACGGCTCTTTATTTAGAAGCGACCTGGCCACAAATGATAACTCAACAAAGTGGCTTTTCATCACGTGGAAACTTCTAGCAACTAAATGCTCAAAACGCACGTTTCTAAATTTAGAGGATAAAACCGGAGGACCCGGAGAAAAATCCACGCGAACACGGGGAGAGAGACACGCAAACTCCAAATATATAGTCAGGGTCGGCATCGGTCGAGGTAGTTAACATCTCGCCACCGTGGCGCCCCTATCGTCTACGCCCCACCCACCCCCACCATGGATGGCCGCACAGTGAACTTCACACATTGTCTGCTGCCTTGGCAGTGGTCTACGAAGCACAATGAGCAACAATAAGAAGTAACACTCAGCACAAAGAGCATTATATTTTGTATCAGCCTGCTCTCAACAACGCAAAACTACCTCATTTCTCATTGCCTCTCCGGGCTCGCTGGACCTCCGTGCGCATGGCGCCTGTCCAGAACACTCCTGAATTTGTCGTCAAGGACCAAGAGCACGGGGAAGCTGGACACTTTGGGAACAAGGATTGAAACTTATGAGATGGTCAAGTAACCAACGGAGATTGGGGTGGGGGAGGTGAAGGTGATTCTAAACTGATGGTTTGTATGTTGAACTTCTTTCGTACCGTACGTAAGCCTACCGTGCTCATAGGAGGTGCGATGGGGGTACAGCGTAAGGCTCTGTTCTCTGCTCAAACGTTTTTGGGGGCGTAGTTGCACCCCCACCCTATTCCACCACCCCACCCACCTCCCCTCCGACCCCACCCCCCACTGTTCCTACCGATGGAAAATAAAAACCATTGACGCGTCAGAGTTCACAACAAATTGAACTAACAGTGGGGATGGCCAGAAGAATCGCTAACCATGAAACTAGAAAATCATCCTGCAGTGAATCCACTGCTGGATGAAGGCCCTAACCGACATGGCGTCGGTTAGAGGGGGTAGTTTGACCACGCCGGTTAGTGCGGGTTGGTGAAAGGCACAGAGGAAGGAGGAACCAGGACCGACTCGGATGCCACGCGCTCGCTGATGTCAGCCGCAGCCGGGAATCTAACTTGGGGTCCTGGGTTTAGGGCGGCGCTGCGCTAACCGCTGCGCCGCCGCTCCATCTCGTGAAAACCAAAACGACGAGTCGGCAGCGCGTGGCGACGGCGCCATGCGATGGATCTTGCAACCGCGACACCCCAAGCCAGCCGGCCAGCCCTGTATCGCGACCGTGTTTAAAGGGGGGGGGGGGGGCCCATACAAACACTCAGATGGGGGTGAAAGTGGGTGGGTGGGGGGTTCGCATCACAATGTTGAACAAAGAATAATAGGCTTAATCCTTCACAGCAATCAAACAGAAGGTGTTAAGATTTTGATTTAAAGCTTTCGTGACTGCAGGGATTGATATTCTTGGTTCTTTCGTGAATTTACCGAAAGAACCAAGAATATAGGCGTTAATACGTTCAAACATCAAACAGGTACACCTATTGCAAGGCATCAAGTCTACATCAACCACACATAATTGCGGAAAAAGACATGCAAACAAATATGCTCCGATAGTTATCTACGCATTGTCTTTGAAACGGATTGGCCTCCACCAGAGGCAGCCTCCCTCGTGGCCTCGACTCGCCAGTGCTAGAGGCAGAGGACGACGCTATGAAGGCGAACAGGGCAACGGCAATGCAGGGAGCAAAGTGTCACTAGTTTGGGTTGAGCAGTTATATCTATGGGGCCTTTTTGCCAGTTTGAAAACGATGAACAAATCAAACACCTGCTTTCACTGACAGTTTTATTGCCAGAAAGGCTAAACGCCTACTCCCGTGTTCGTCATTTTGATACTGGCTAAAAAGGGTGCCACGGATACTGTTGAACAAACTTCAAACCAAATATTCAACGCGAAACCTGAGTGCGCGAACGATGCGCTCTTCCGCTCGTGTCAATGTCACCGCCCGTGTGTGTGTGCATGGTGTCACTGTGGGGAGCGGTGGCGGAGCGGTTAGCGCTACGCTGCGCTACGAAACCTGGCGACCCGGGTTCGATTCCCGCTCACGACCAACACCAGTGACGATTATCTAAACCTGCTCCTGGGCCTCCCCTAGGTCGACGCAGCCTCAAATGAGTATTTTGGTGCAGCGGTGTGTAAACATCGCCACTGGGGAGACAAAGGCGGCCGGGCGTGGTGTTGGTCACTCACACACTCGTGTGCCGTGCTGACCTTCACAGGTGCTCGCTAACAGCACTTGCCCCAACAGTCTGTTAAGGCTATACGGGAGGTCTTTGTAGGGCGAGGAAAAGGCTGTGATGCCACCCATGACGGGCTCTCGCAAGTTGCCGAGCACAGAACGTCCAAAGGCCAAACACGTCAAGCGGTCAGCAACGAACAGCGCCATCGTGTTAGCAGACAAAATGCGACTCAATTTCAGCGCGGCTATCAGAGCTCAGTAAAGAGACGTTGGCGATCCTTCAGCAGTAGGTGGGGGGGGGGGGGCTCAGCCCCCTAAAGCCCCCCTCCTCCCCGCCCCCCCGACAATATGAGTTTGTCCAAAGCCCCCCCCCCCCCCGAGTTGCGAACCCATGAGTTCCGCGCCGGGGGTCCACTCGCCTGCTCCAATCACCACGGCGTCGTAGCTGCTTTTGAGGGTGGCCCCGGCCAGCCCCGTGAGGCCGCGGGGCCCCGGGAGGCTCCGGACGAGCTGGCGGCCCCCTGCGAGCACGCGGCCCCCTGCGAGCACGCGGCCGGCCATGGCGAGCTAGGGAGGGGGGGCGCCTAGAGAGAGCAGCGCAGAGCAGCGACGAAGTAGGGGGACGAGGGAGACGAGAACAGAGAGACGAGGGCAGGTTTACATAATCTGTGTCGCCCGCGTACGCGGAGACGTAAGTGCACTTGCACGAGACCTTGACCTCCATTCCCCTTATTTGGCCCCGTATCCCCTCCCCCACTCCCTACTCCCACTCTTCCCCCACCCCAACCAGGGGTGAAGTTAATGACACCGCACATTGCTGGACAGAACGGTAAGAGAGCGAGAGAGGGCCGGGAGTCGGCAGGTCAGGACGTGTTGGCTGCTTGCGTTCACCAGGCACGGGCTGGTGAACGCAAGGGTGGGGGGTCGTCAGCCTGTCACATCACACGTGCCACCGATTTGTTAGCCGTGACCGGGAACGGAACGCTGAGCCCGCGTGGTCAGCGTTGCGAAGTGCAAGCCACGCGGTGCAGGTGCCCCAATCCAACCCGGTTTTTCATTCTCACTCCATATTTTCTGGGCCGCCAATCCCGACTGCGACTGTTCTCGAGCCATCCACCACCATCAACACCGCATTCGTTGTTAAACGTACACTACGTTTACTTTGTGGACGAATTTACTTTTGCTAAAACAATCATATTACTAATCCACGTTACAACCGCGGTAGTGGCGATGATGATGATGTTGTGGCCCAGCCCTTTGGAGCAGAGGGTTGGTGGATCACGGAGCGTTTTAGGAAACCTCAAAATCCACTGGGCTGTCAGGTGGCCGGGAGATGGCAGTACACCACGTGGGTTCGTGAACCCGCCTGTGCACTCCTCGACGCGCTCATCCTTAAATTGCCCACCTCCCTGTCTCTCCACCCGCCCACCTCCCTGTCTCTCCACCCACCTATCTTCCTCTTTAATAACCACCACCTGCCTTCTCTAACGACCCAGCGACCCGCCCACCTGCCTCTCTAGCCATCCTCCTATTTTTCAACCCACCCACTTGCCCCTCGACTCGCTCACCTGCCACTTCACCCGCCCACCTATCTCTCTACCCACCCACCTATCTCTACACCCACCCACCCACCTATCTCGCAACCCACCCACTGACCCGCCCACTTGCCCTCTACCCGCCCACCTGCCTTGCCCACCTGTCCGTTTCGCCTGAGCTGCGGAAGAACATCGGGTTACAAACGGAGGGTGTGGGGCATCCGACCCCTGCATCTCGTTCGGTTGTCGAAGCAGCGCGCGGCTTTTCTTGACGCGTCCCAGCGAAACCGGCGTCCACCACGCGCCGTGTTGGGCAGCCTGTGCCAGACTCCCCACCGCTTTCTCTGCCTCCAATAAAACACAATCGCCTCCATATTTTCGAACCCGATTTTTTTCCAACACGCGCAGCTTCCACACTCGCCTCCTCCGGGGTTCCCTTCGCTGTGTTGAGCCTGAAGTGGTCGGGGGGGGAGTTCCGGGATCGACCTGGCGACTTGATTTGGGTGGCTTTACAACCCCCGGCCAATATTCTTCTGAGTTCAAGGTAAAATAGGACGATCGTTGTATTGTCTGTGCAATGCTCAACGTGTAACGACGCAGGCGTCACTCTACCGCGTGTCTCTCTTCGGGAGCCCCGTCCGTAGCAGTCCCGTCCCTGTTGAGTTCGGGGGCTCAGCGCCGTGCGGGCCACGTGCGGCGCGCTCTGGGGGCCCCCTCGCGCCTCCCCCCGCCGCCGCCTCCGCCCACCAATCACAGCCGGGCACCCCGCTCACAGTCCCACCCCGCTCAGTAAACACTCGCGCCCATACATTGCTGGCCTTTAGCCAAAGAGGCTAAAGGCCAGCAAGTCCGTCGAAACAATGCTATGTATGCGGCCAATGGTGTCTATTCGTATCATAATCCCACTCATTAAAAATGGGTGCTATCTACCGCACGCTATCTTTGACCGCATGAAAACATCGCAACCACGAAGGCAATGCCACCTCGGGAGCTACCAACCACGTGGAATATCTGCCGTCGGTTCGTGGACTTCAAGCAGGTTCGATCCTGTCAAGTGCTTAGAGGTGTTAACTACCTCGCCTGGTGGGTTCGATCCCGAAGCCTGTACATTTGGAGTTTGCGTGTCTGCCTCCCCGTGGTCGTGTGGATTTTCTCCGGGTCCTCTGGGTTTTCCCTCCACATTTAGAAACATGCACTTCGAGTATTTGGCCGCGATAAATTTCCACATAAGCCACTTCGTTGAGCTATCATTTGTGGCCTGGTCGCTTCTGACAAATAACTCTATATAGCTCAGTGGGTTTACCTTGTAAAATAAAGAATAGTGTAGTTTTAGTTTAATGTGCACGCAACAGCCGGTTACTCCGACAGAGGTTGCTATGGAGGTGGCCGGTAAGGCTCAAGAGGTCAGAGCAGGAGAGAGCCGGCACAGCTGAAAACCCCCAAGTTTAAACCCAGGCAGCCGCCTGCAATCAAAGCTGGATTCTCGAGCGTAGGGAGCCGATGGTCTGACTCAGCTTGGTCACCTGATGAATGCACAAACAAAACAAAACCCATCACAACAAATCAATTTGGTTCCGCATTTCATTTGGCAATGTTGGTTCTCCGGAGAATTAAAAATCTCAGAGAATTAAAGAAAGCCGGTTTGTGGAGACGATGCCCCCTGCCGCGTGGACCAGCTGTGCCACTTGACGAAGGCATCTCAAGGAGGTCGCTCGAAGACATCTGCTTACCTGCGCCGTCCACCAAAGCGCAGCTTGGCGCACACTGCTCGCCACCGCTCGTTCCGAACTCCCTCGACGTCTCAGACATATCGTCACAATATTCATTCATCCTGGAGGAATCCGATGAGCTGTGAATCTCTTTTTTTCACCAACGTCTCGGGACATTCGCGCTTCCGACCGAGTGTGAACGCAGGAATTCAAACGCGCACTCGGCGGAGCCCCCCCCCTCTCCCGAGACGGGGCGAGCGAGAGCGCCGGAGATGCGCGCCGCGCACGGCTGGAGGCAAGCGGCGGTCTCGCCTCACCTGCCTCGACTCGCCGCCTCACTCTGCCGACGCTGTGCGCGGCGTCTATTTTTAACGCCGTCCTCGGCACGAGCGCCCCGGTTTGCCCCCCCCCCCCCCCGTCGAGCGCCTTCAATGGAATTTTGGCAGCGGGGATCCACTTTAAATAAAGATCATCAGCTTCTCCGCGCCTGCAAGCGGTGCTGCCTTCCACCGCGCTGCCTGGTCCCTCGGTGGGGGGCGGGGGGGGGGATATCGCGACGGACGCACGGCCGTGGTGCCCTTGGCACTGCGGAGAGATTTGACGCCGTTCGCATTTTTTGGAAATTAATTTATTAAATACCTGTGGACGGACACGAGATAATTTTGTGCACACTCGGGCGCCGAACGCGGCACGCACAGTAGGCGACCGGCCAAGTTTTGTGGAAGCTTATACAGACTCGCGTTGAATATCCGATGAGTTTATACTTCACACCAACAAGCAAAGTACCGTGTACAGAATGTGTATATATGTTATATGACCTGAACGATATAATTATCGTCACCATTATTACTTAGAATGCTATTTATAACCTGCTCAAACGAGATAAATGAAAGTCTATGAATGCGCCCAGAATTAAATGCCTCAAAAAATGACATTGCCACATTCACATTTATTACATACACGGTTACATCATCGCTGCACGTAGACATATGAGCCACTTGCATAGGCAATACAACACGGAGTGAAGATCATGGAAGAACTGCCAACGAAGGCCTCTCTGCTGCTTGCTATTTTCCCCGATCACGTTCCTGAAAGCCTGCAGAGAGCAACGGTCCGTGATGGCCTCATGCCTGTCTCACCCGTCTCTCCTGCACTTTGCTTTCCATTTGGACAAGTGCCAAATCTCTGCACTCCTGAAGACAATCTTGTCAGGTGCGAAGTTGCAAATCATCGGGCCACTCTCCAATCTTTCTACGAACTCGAGAGGAGATGAGCGGCTCGTGTAACTGGCACGGCTAAGGCCACACACGGAGCTCGCTCGATGAACTTCAGTCCGCTTACCGATCCCTCTGCTCCACCGACACCACGGCCGTGGGTATTTTCCACGATCTCCTGGTGGATGTCCATTGTGGGTGGGCGGACTGAACATTCTGGCCACTTGTGTCCCCATCGATCACGGTGTCCTCCTGCACTCATCCGGCCGTTTTATCTTCACCAAAGATGGACCGTCGTCCTGTCTCCACCATCATCCTGTCTCCGTTTGGCATCCCACAGGGATTCGTTCTCGGTCCCACTCTCGCCTTGACGATTGCAACTCGATGCTTGCTGTACGGAGTAAACGATGCCCTCGGCAAACGTCTCCAGCGTCGCGCCAGAGCTGTTTGGATGGCCCCACCTCTCACAAGCGCATATCATCACCTACGCTCATCTGCTATGGGCCTGCTGCTGCTGCTCTTGCTGCTGTGTGAAGTCCACTCGGCTTAGGGCAGCAGCAGAATGGAGTTTAACACCTGCAGCCTCGGTGTCTGGAACAGTATCCGTTACCCGCTCTTCAGTCCGGACGAGAAACATTTATTTTCTCTTCTGGTGAGTTGAGTTCAGTTTAATTTTCTCAGCGCCATAAGTGCTTCCGTCTCTGCCTTTAGCCCAACAAGGCGTGTTACAAATCTTGGGAATGATCGCTCCAATTTCCAGGCCCCAGCCAGTGCTATTAATTCCACATTTCTACGGGGGTTGGGGACGACGAATTTTATCCGCCGTCTCGACTTCCCCACAAAGTGTTACAGATTTGATTGACTCGAGAGGGACGGTGGAATCGCAGCGTTCACCACGACGAGCCACGCGCCCTCTGACCCCCGCCACCGGCCAGACAGTAGACCAACTCGCGAGGTACTGCTGCTGCTGCCCGGCTGGTGCGTGGAAAGCACAACCACGAGCATTGCTCCATAGATTAGGCAGACTCACACAGTCACGATTCTACCATAATCCCATTTTACATATATACACAAAGACAAGGATCCCCTGAATGGTCTCAACAGACTGTTGGGGCAAGTACTGTAAGCGAGCACCTATGAAGGCCAGCACGGCACACGAGGCGGTGGGAGGCCAGCATCACGCCCGGCCGCCTTTGTCTCCCTCGTGGCCATGTTTTCACATCGCACTGAACACTCATTTGAGGCCGAGTCGATCCAGGGGAGGCTCAGCACTGGATCAGATAACTGCAACTGGTGTTGGCCGTGAGCAGGAATCGAACTCGGGTCGCCGGGCTTGTAGCACAGCATGCCAACCGCTACACTACCGCTCCCCACCATTATATATACATATAAAAAAGATCCCCTGTATAGGCTGAACAGACTGTTGGGGCAAGTGCTTTTAGCGAGCACCTATACACACACACATACACCTGCAGTGTCATGTTTAACGCAATTATCTGTTGAACGCAATTCATAAAATCTGTAAATGTTTATGGGATAGGTCGTTTGTTTGACACAAATTGTTTGTGTAAATTACAGGCCGAATTGGGTAACATACTATGAATGAAGTTATAAATCTATGCTCTGATGATATGAATGACAATCGAAATCGTTAAAGTGTCTGAAATCATCATCGGCTATGTTCAGTCCACTGCTGGATGAAGGCCTCCCCCCCCCATGCCGCCGCCGTCTCGCATGGCCCTGCAATGATCCCTCCATCGCCCTCACCCCCGGGCTGTGGGGGGACCTCTCGGCCCGGCTCCCACCACTGGCGAGACGCACAACGCAGACGAGAGTCGGGCTCGCAGAGACGAGAGCGGGGCTAGTGGAGCAGAGCGCAAGCAGAGAGAGAGGGCTAGTTGAGCAGAGCGCAAGCAGAGAGAGGGGCTAGTGGTGTGCGAGCAGATAGAAGATAGAGGGGCTAGCAGAGAGGGAGAGGCTAGCAGAGGGGGAGAGGCTAGCGGAGCGCTGCTAGCGCTGCATGGTGCCGAGGAAGCTGGCGGGCACGTAGCCCCGGTGGCCGCCGTCGCTCTCCACGAGCCACCACTGTGGGTTCCCCGCGAGGTCGCTCGTGTGCAGCACGCGCACGCGCTGCCCCGCGAGCACGCTCGCCTGGCCCACGCCCTGCGCCGAGAACTTGAACAGCGCACACCACTCCTGCACGGGGAAGTGGGGGGGACGAGAGATGGGGGGGTGCACAGTTACACACGTGACCAAGTTGCACAGTGGATGTGCATCACGTGGAAGTTCCACCGTTACAGACGTGCACATTTTTGCCTTTTGGCAGACTTCATGATCTGTCCTTATCCATGGAAAGAGCTGATATCCATGTGGTTATCCACAGATGAGCGTGGATAATTCGATTAACCTTGCCACTACTTCCTGTTTAAACGTAAAAATACACGGATGACCAGATTACATTAGTTACTTTTGGGTGATAGCTTCCGGGTGACTTATCTGTGAATTCATGCAGAAAATATTAAGGCAATACATTCACAAATAATAAAAAAATTCATGGATCGATGGACCTATGAAGAAGTGGAATTTCACCGCATCGTGCTGTAAGAAAAAGACTCCCTCCTGTCTGGGGTCAACGGTGGCGTTGGCACTGCCCACCTGTCCGTCCGATGGCAGCGGAGAGGCGGTCGGCACCGCACCGGACGGTTGCTGCCCCCCTTCGCTCTCGGCCCTCGGCCCCATGGTCCAGCGTCTCCCCTGGGCCACGTGCTTCCTGCCGCTCGCCTGGCCTGCCGGCGAGTGTTCGGCCCCGCCGTCCATGGTGGCAGTACCACCACCAGTACCGCCCCAACCGCCGTCACCGCCACCATCGTCACCGCTACCATCCTCGGGCACCGCCCACCCATAGCCACGCTCCATGTAGACCGACGCCGATCGCGGCCGGTCGTCCCCCGGCTGCAGCATTTCGTTGTGCGAATCGGCGATGCCGGGCCTGCCGGGTTGAGGCTCCCCTGGCGTCGGCAAAGTCACCGCCGGTGCCGCCGCCAGGCCGAGGCCACCCCGCTTGGCGTCGAGGGCGCCGCTCGGCCGATGCGCTAGCCGGGAGGCGCTGCCGCCCGAGGGCGTCGCTCTGGGCGCTCGCTTGGAGATGCCGTCACCAGGTGGCGAGTCGCCGGATACGAAGATGGACTGGCACGCTGAGGTTGATCGCCATGGAGGAGAATGAGGAGGATAAGGAGGAGGAGAAGGAGGAGGAGGAAGAGGAGGAGAATCCCGCCGCCTTGTACGGCACGAGCAGCGAGGACTTCACGAAACCACGCGACACTGCAGGCGGAAGCAGGAGCAACAGCAGCAGCACACGTCATCATTTGGGGCATGGTACAGAAATAAAACATCGCCACCATCGGGCCGACGAAAAATTTAACTTCTCAGCCAAATGTCGTCTTCATAATAATAATATTAACAATAACGGAGTGGCAGCCGAGGATTTCAATTATCCCAATGGAGTGATGAAATCGATTTGCGTGCAGGTGCTGGGTGGGCCGTTGCATCGCAGGATTGCGAGAGGAAGCAGCTTGGGGAAGCTGTCATCCAGCAGTTGATTGATCATGGCTGATGATGATGGTGAGGATGATGAAGAGTCAAAGATATTCTATTTAATCGATGTAACGTGAAATCGGGTCCCGATTTTCTTCGGTTTGTATCGTGCAATTATTTAATGTACAGGAGTTAGGCAAAATAGTAGATGGAGTATGTTATGAACAAGCAGATATCGTTTCCCCAGGTGTTTCCCTCCATATTTAGAATCAACGTGCATTTATAAGAGTTTTTTTTTCTTAAAGCGCATAAATATATAAATGTGCCATTAAACCCGCTACCACCTGACACAGCCAATTAGTAAGGTTTGTTACGTAAACAAAACATGCCAATTCGTTACTTTTACATCCCCCCCATTTGCACATGAAGGGCTCACAAGTGACATCATCACATCTATATCTCTATTGAAGGAATGAAACAGAAGGATTTATCCATATATCTGGCTGTCCACCTGAAGATGCTAGTTGTAATTACTGGCGAAACATCGTACTCAGATTGTAACTGTTGTGGATTTGCTCTCCAACACACCGGTGTGCTGTACTAGTAACGAATTGGCACGTTCTGTTTACGTGACAACCCTTACTAATTGGCTGTGTCGAATGGTGGCGGGTTTAATGACACATTTATATTCGTGCAATCTTACCCCCCCAAAAAACCTTACATTATGGATGATATTGGTCGCGAAAGCCTACGTGTTAATCGTGCGCTTAGACTATTTGGCTGCAAAAAATGTCCACGTGATAAGCCACTTGGTCGAGCTATCATTTGCGATAGCCAGGTCGCTTCTCGAAAAGAGCTCCATAGCTCAGTGGGCCCCCCACGGGACGCCCGGCGACCCCTGGCAACCCCTGGCCTCACCCCCGCTGTCGACGAGCCAGCGATGCGAGTTCCCCTGCGTGTCGTGGCGCGTGACGACGGCCACCAGCGCGCCGCGGCTCAGCCGCAGGTCGGTCTGCTTGAGCGGCGTCGTGTTGGCCGTCACCAGGTGCAGCTGCTCCGCCGGGTACTGCGCCAGCTTTGGGGGCAGGACGGGCCCCGGCGACGCGGGGCTCTGATGGGAAAACAAAGCCGGGGGGGGCAGGGGGTTGCCAGCCTTGAGTCGAGGCGGTCGGGCGGTGCCGCGCGTCGTTTGGCACGGTGTCCGACGTTTTTGCCGCGCGTGTGCCGGGAGTGTTCCCGTACCGAATTGCACCGAAGAAGCTCCCAAAAACCAAAGAGTGAAGCTCCCAGCGCTCGGAGCGAAAGCTGAAGGCGTCACGGCGAGCAACACGCGGCACACGCCGGGGGGCGCGTCGTCGGAGAGACGCGCGGCGGCACGACAGCAAAAAAAAACCCTACGCGCCCGCTCGAGGTATCGTCGCATCGCACGTCCGTGAGCGATGGCGGTGGATCGGGGAGCTGTGCATTCAGCAGTGGATAGAACATGACTAACGATTGTCCTTGGGTACATTTTCCGAAGACATCAAGTGCTCAGATAGTAGATGACCAAGCATCCACAGGTGCCAACGTGGGCTGAGCAGACCAAGGGATCGTGTTGCATGCAAGGTGCGTGATGACAATGTTTTTGATGATTTCGATTTTCAAGATGATATTGATGATGTATGTTTGTATGCTGAACTTCTTTCGCATCATACGTAGCCAACCATGCTGATCAGAGGTCAGGCGGAAGGACAACTATTTAAACACAAAAAGCAGTTCAAAAGAAATACGTTTGCAATCTAGATTTCAACATGCATAGCTCTATTGGCTTCCTAATATTGGAAGGAAGAGCGTTCCAGACGGCCGCAGAAGCGCATCTGAAAGCGTGCGATGCTGTGACCGTCTTCATTCAATGGTTTGCCAAAAGCCGCTGCGAGATGACCAACGATGATGATGACCGAGGACGACGATGATGATGACGAGAGTAACGAGGAGTGTCTCACAGCAGAGCCGCTGGTGCTCGAGTCTCTCCTGGCGGCAGGAGAGGGGAGGGTGGAGCCCGGCAGGAGGATCATGGCGTCTGCAGAAAACTGCAGGCGCGAGAGGATGTCCCCGTGCCTGGCGCTGGCGCTGAGGAAGTACGGGAGGATGTTTGGGTCCCCGGCCTCGATGTTCATCATCTGCGGCGAGAGTTGTCAAATCGTCGATGCTGGGCACCATATCTAAACCATCTTCATGATGCCAATTAATTACGGGATGTATGTATGTATGCACTGTATGTAGCCAACTGTGATAATTGGAGGTGTGGTACAATGCTTTGGCAAGTGAAGTGAATGAAACAACTGAATCGATGAACAAATGCATGACTGACGAAGAATCGTCAGCCCACTGATCACCTCGGGAGCTTCGCTCTGTCCCAGCCCATCTTCTCCACGTGAAGCGCGTCTATGTGTCTCCATGTGAGTCTCTGGGTCTCTATGTGGGTCTAAGGGTCTCTATGTGGGTCTAAGGGTCTCTATGTGGGTCTATGGATCTTCATGTGAGTCTCTGGGTCTCTATGTGGGTCTATGGGTATCTGAGTCGATGGGTCTCCATGTGAGTCTCTGGGTCTCGATGTGGGTCTATGGGTATCTGAGTCGATGGGTCTCCATGTGAGTCTCTGGGTCTCTATGCGACTCTGTGAGAAAGTGCTGATGAAACCACCATCATTGCTTTCCATTTTCTCAACGAATCCACCTGCACGCATTATATATAATTATCAGCTGAGACTGGAAACCCCTGAACCTGGAGCCACGTGCCAATACCACTCTTACACCCCCGACCCCCTGGACCACCCGATTCTCTGCCTTCCAACCTCTCGGAGCGGTTCCATCTCCGCGGCGGCGGCCCCGATGAACGCTCGGTGGGCTCGGACGAGCCCCTGGATGGCGCCGAGTGCGAGCGCGGCCACGCAGCGGCAGAACGTCGGCAGCTCCTCCAGCAGCTGCATGTTGAGGGCCTCGTACTCACGCCGCGACAGCTCCAGGGGCTGCTGCGCATCATCCAGCGAGCCGGCGTTCTCCATCCAGCGGCCGTAGTCGAGCAGCTTGTCGAAGCGCTTCTGGACCAGCAGCTGGGGCATGGCGAAGGCGTGGTGGGCGCCGCTCAGCAGCGGCACCACCCGGCTCTCCAGGCGCGAACGCTGCGGTTTCCCACCGCGTCGAGGACGATGGGTGGGAGGGCATGGGGAGCGGGGCAGGAGGGGTAGAGGAGCGGAGGAGAGGAGAAGAGGACCGTACGTAAATTTAAACTCGATCCGCATGCGGTGGGGACAGCGTTATGGTTTCTGCGCGACGTTCGGAGGTTTTTTTTTTCCCATCTGTGACCGTGTCTCTTAGCAAACATGTCGCTCACTTCTCCTGCACGGCATCCCGAGCTGCGGTCGCGTTCGGTCCCCGTGTGAATCCACGGTGTGCGGGAGCGGATGCACCGTGCGACTCGGCTTGTTGCTGCGACGCAGATCGATCCCCGGAGATCGGGCCTCACGGCTAACCGCACGCGCTATTGAGCAGCACAAATAACGATATTGATTCGTTTGATTCACATATTTCGTAGTTCCATTGTAGGAATGAACACGCACGGAGGGCAGGTACAGATATTATAATTGACCATTTTTTTACTGCACAGCAATCCGCAGAAACAGCTCGAGGGGCGACAGCGGCCCGCCGGCCCGGTCTACGACGTCCAACGGCCGTCTCTGCACGACCCCGGCGGTCGCGCACTGGCACGATGCGCGCTGGCGTCCAAAGGACGGGACCCTCCGACGAACTATAAACTTAACAATTAACATTTTTTTCTTTTACCAGGTAAGGCCCACTGAGCTATATGGCTATTTTTCCAATGCGACCTTTCTTCATGTGGAAATTTATAGCAGCCAAATACTCTACAGACACGTTTCTAAATCTGTAGGGAAAAAACAATAGGACACAGAAAAAAAATCCACGCGACCACGGGGAGAGACAAACAAACTCCAAATATACAGCAGCAAGCGTCAGGGTCGGGATCGAACCCACAACCTCCTCCATACCAGGCGAGGTGGTTAACATCTCGCACAAGTCCAGCGCGGCGCCACCGCTCCCGTTGCGAACTCACCAGCTGCTGCATGTGCCTCTCGGCGATGGCGTGGAGCGCCGCGCGGAGCGGCTCGGCCACGTCCCGCTCGGGCCACAGCACCCGCAGGCCGGGTGCGGCCGCCAGCCACGCATCCTGGGGGCCCTGTGCACAGCGGGGCCGGGCTTGACCACGGCGGCAACAACACGTGACCGCGGCGGTGGCGACGACGCAACTATAACCACCACCCCACCCCCCCTTGGCATAGCATCATCATCGTTGACAGCATCAGCAACAGCATTATTATTGTTATTACTCTCCGCACCTCCGATTAGCACGGTTGGCTACGTATGGTACGAAAGAAGTTTAACATACAGTACATACAACGAATGTGGATGTTGGTGCAGAGTTTGCCTGTGTTGAACCAGTGCTATGAAGGGGGAGTTGGGGTGGGGGGTGCAGCAGCGCTTTTCGACGGACGGGGGTGCACTGCAGGCGCTCACCTGCAGATGCAGCAGGTACCCCTCCAGCCCTTGCAGCAGGGCTCCGACGAGGCGGTGCAGGGCGAGGAACGAGTCGTGCACCTTCTCAAATTCTTCATCCGCGGGCTGCCGACAAACACGAGAAGGATCTGGGCATTAGGCCGGCGGTGCCGCGCCTTCTGGCTGGCACCCGTCAGTGACGCTCGCCTCGACCGCCGGCCGGCCGCCGCCTCTCCCCTCGCCACGACATGCCCTGCATTCTCCCGCTAACTCTTGCCAACAGGAGTGCACGGCATCGCGAGTGATGCGGGATTCGATTTCAAATGTCCGAGACAGAGACGGATTGCTCCCCGCCTCTAATGAGCACACACCCCGACACCTTCTCTTTGCTTCATTGCTGAACTTTTTTTTTAAATTTTGGTGACACGGGTTGCTCTTGCAATTGAGACTCCTGTTCTTGGTTTCTCGAGGTCTGGCCTGGTGAAAACAAATTAAAGCCCGACCCTTGAATCCCTGTTAATACAGCAATTTCGTAGTTTGTGATTACGAACGCACATTTCTGTTAGGGAGAAATGTGCACGCGCCTCGCTTGCGAAGCTCTCGGATAAAGCTCTTGGACCTTTAGACCCGAATCAACGCGACTCTACAGAACTTTATCACAGCTCAGCTGAAACGTGACCTGAATCGGGACAAGGGCAGCACGGAGCGAGCCAGCGAATCTTAACAAACTCCGCCGTCCAAACTCCGAGCTAAACATTACCCAGCATGGACCAGGCTCGTGCTTGGAAATGTCACAGCCAAGCTCCGCTCCGGGTCTGTAACCGCGCTCTGATGGCAGCGGCAAATTAATTTCCGTTCATATCGGCTCTGCTGTCGGGCAGTGGGCGGGCCCCATGGCTCCAGTTTTAAACAGGTTGCGAAATTCACTCCGGGGTTTTCAAGGTGGATTTGTGCAGTGGAATCAAGGAATGCAGCGCGCGATGATGATGACTATCATCATGATGATGATGATAATCATCATCATCGCATGTCGCCACAGTGGCGATCTGTGAACGACCTCGCCTGCTTTACAGGGCGTGGTTCCACCCTAATGCCTGTAAATGTGGATCATACTAGTTCTCGCCGTGGTCACGTGGATTTTTTTCTGGGTCCTCCGGTTTTTCCCCACATTTAGAATCAGTGTGTGTTTAGAGTGTTTGGCTGCTCTAAATGTCCGTGTGAAAAGCCACTTCTTTGAGCTATTTGTGGCGAGGTCGCTTCTGTAAAAGAGCCATATAGCTCAGTGGGCTTTTCCTGGTGAAGTAAAAAAGATTTAGTTTAGTTTATTATGAGAGTGACGATGATGATGAAAATGCTGCATCAGTGCTGGGCTCCACCAGACCAGTTTCTCCAGGAAAGCTGCGCCCATCTGGTAGAGAAATCTCTAGTGATGAAGCCACTGCCAGCAACATTTCAGTTCCCCAGTGGGGTCTCTACGCGAGCCTGTGGGTCTCTCAGCGAGTCTGTGGGTCACACTGTGAGTATAAACAGGCCTTTATGTGAGTCTATAGGCCAATATATGCTGCGGGTCTCTCAGCATATATTGCCAAGTCACTGCCATCGAGAAACAAAAACGGGCGAGCGCCGTCGCGTGTGACCTCAATGCGGAGCGGTCGTGCGGTGCCCGGGCGCCGTGCAGCAACGGGAGGGGATCGCGTGCGAGCGTGCGGACCGCTTGAGCCATTTTCCAGCTGCTTGAAATTGCGCGGGCACGGGGATGGGGTGCGGTGCCGATGTTCATAAAACGCCAAACTCCCCGAGACCCAGACCCTCCACCGCGCGGTGGGGGGGGGTCCTGAAATTCCGGCGCACCCCCCCGCTCCATTACTTAAATTACACTCTTCGTTCGGCGCACCCCGCACTCGATCACGCTGCGCTGTTGGCAACGGTCGAATTTGCCGGCAAGCTCTAGACAAATGAAGGGCAGCTGTCGACATTGATCCCCACGACTCCCCACCGCCGTCCTCCCCTTTATCTTCCTCGCACGACTCTGCATGCAGCGGCGTTGCCCGAGATGTTGCCTGCGAGCGACGCGGTTGACGCGCAACCTGATAGTTGCGGGTAGCTCTCCAACTGCGGACTTCTTCAACTCGCGGACGCTCCGCCGACCCGAGCATTTCTCTCCGACGGCGCCACCGCAACGGAGCGAATCCCGTTTCCCCCGAAGGCACCGAGTGAACGGGGGAGGGGGCGTAGGTGGGAGCCAGGGGGGAGGGGGGGCGCGGAACGTCGATTCGACGGCGGCGACGGCACGAGGCGGCATCGCCCCGGTGAGCGCGCGGCACGCGGAGCCGCGGACGAGCTGCCTCAGCCTAAATGTCGAGCGCGAGTGGCGGGGGCGTCACGCGTCTGCTCGTTATTGCACGCACGTGTGAGGTGCGCGCGTGTGCACGTGCGCGTGAGCGCGAGCGCATGCTTGTAGACGAGTAAGTGACGCGCGGCCCTTGCCAGTGCGGAGAGCCCCGTGGCCGTTCGGAACTGCTGGCTCAGGCGCGCCCCTTTCTTCTGCAGCGTGTGCAGGTTCAGCCGCGACAGCCGATCCACCAGCGGCATCGCCTCCTGTCGGCGGTACTTGAGCACTACCGAGGGGGACAAGTGGGGGGGGGGGGGGGGGCGTCCGGGGCCGGCCAGGAGGAGAAGGGTGAAGGGGGTCAAAGGTCACAGGGAGGGGCAGCGGGAGAGCGGCAGTGAGCATGGGCGCGAGCGAGCGGGAGCGATAAAAATAGAGGAGCGATCGAACACGGGTCGCCACCTCGCGGGGAGTGGGGGCCTGGGGGGGAGTAGGGGGGGCATCTCCTGTTGTGGTCTCTCAGCAGTTACAGCTCACGACGAGAGGAAGCATTAGATCCCATTACGATTCACGGTAGACGAAGGTTTTTTTTTCAATTAAATCCGCCAAGACAGATGTGACGTCCGGCTAATAGAAATTGCGACGGTGCGCCTGTGACTCTTTCAATTAGCGTTATCACTCACTCCCCTCACCGTGGGGAGCCTTAGGAAAGTAGGAGGGGGGGAGGTTGCGCCACTTGACCCCCGCGAACCCTGCGACACAGTCGCCAAGCTCCGGAGCCGTCGTGGTTCCGACTGGAAGTTTTAAAAGACTCTCCAAGCGGGGACCGCTCTGCCGCCAATCCTTGCGAGCCACGACTTCAGTGTCTCACCGAATATTTTCCGGGGCCGCCGGTCGACTGGAGTAAGCGGCGGCGACTCAAGTCAGACATCCGCATGCGTGCACCCAAAGACAAAGATCCCCCGTGTAGCCTAAACAGGTCTACAGGCTGTCGGGGCAAGTGCCATCAGCGAGTTGACCCAGGAAGGTGCTCGCTTATGATAATAAACACGCGCGCGAGTAAATGGGAGGGCGAGAGGGCGAGCGTGAGAGTGAGCGTGAGAGTGAGCGTGGGAGTGAATGGGAGAGGGAACGGGAGGGCGAGCGTGAGCGCACGTAGTGCCCACCCTGGTCGGTGCGCCGCTTCTGCTCGTTGATGCTCGAGTTGACATCGAGCAGCGCCCGCACGGCGCGCCTCAGCGCGGCGCGCTCCGGGTGCCCCTCGGGCGTGCGCTCCAGCACCGCCTGCAGCAGCAGTGAGTAGCGCATCACGCGCTGCACCGGCTTGATGAGCATGAAGCTCAGGTCCGCGTTCATGCCCAGCCTGGGGAGGGTGGGGGGGGCGGCATGGGGGTGGCCTGAGTGCACGAGGGAAGCCAACCGGTTGCCCGATGCGATCGTCGACCCACGCGGCCGCTCTTGTCCGCATCCGGGCGAGCGGTCGCGCCTCAAGAGGGGAATTGAACGGCGTGTTCAGGGTCGTGACGACTGATCACAGCTCGCTAAATGTGCATGTCACGCGGCGATGAAATGCGTCGCTGCACTGAGGGATGTGTGAAAGCCGGGTTGTCTCCACTGCAAGCAACCGGTTGTGCAACTGCTCACAACTGGTTGCAGAGAAGATGTCCACATACGAGCGTTTAACTTGCATGCAACCGAATTGTGTGACTCATCGCTCAGGTGTGGAGCCGGCTTCAGTGCGTTTGTGCAGGTGTACGGTGTGGATGTACTGCGTGTGCACTGCATGTGCACTGCGTGTGCACTGCATGTGCACTGCGTGTGCACTGCGTGTGCACTGCATGTGTACTGCATGTGTACTGCGTGTGTACTGTGTGCACTGCGTGTGTACTGCGTGTGTACTGCATGTGCACTGCGTGTGTAGTGACAAAGAATTGGTCACTATATAGCATAGCGCGGGTTGCTGGCAGAGAAGGTGATATGCAGTTGCAGCAGCCCTGCCTGGCAACAGGTCACGTGATAAGCCAGAGAGAGATGTAGGAGAAAGGTTACAGAGGGGGCACGTGAGGGAAGCCCTGGAACCCGCTAGTAGGTTCTAGAAGGGGGGCGTGGCCGGGGCGGAGCGAGGCCACGCCGGGAGGATAAAAGGGAACCCCCCCCCGGTCGGGAGCTCGGGGCTGTCGCCTGGAGTGGGATCCCCTCGTCGTGCTGCTGGAGTCTTCACTGCCGTCTTCACCTGCTCGGCGTCGTCAGTCAGGCAGCCTGCCAGCTGTCCTGACTGGGAGCTGTGAAGGCTGTTAATAAATAGAGTGCCTCCTACTCCTAGTGTCTGTGTCAGTTACTACACACGTGTACTATGTGTGTACTGCCTTCATTGCGTATACTGCGTTCATTGCGTGTACCGTGTGTGTACTGTGTGTACTGTGTCTACTGCGTTCATTGCGTGTACTGCGTGTACTGTATGCGCTGCGTGCACTGCGTGTGCTCACTGGGCCGCGAGCTGTGCCTCGCAGGCTTCGATGCGGGCGTTGGTGGCCGGGTTGCCGCGGCAACACTTGAGGCAGGCGGCGGCCTCCTCATAGTACTGGCAGTAGGGCCTGTAGGCCGCCTCAATGTCCGGGGAGAACTTCTCAAACACCTCGCCTGACACGGCAACAAAAAGTGTACGGACAAGTGCTGTTAGTGAGCACCGCCTACGCAGGTGGTCACCAACAACAATAAACACACACACTCTCACATTTATACACAACACACGTGCACAGACTGTTCGGGCAAGTGTTGTTAGCGAGCGCCTATTAAGGCGGGCACGGCGCACGGGAGAGTGGTGTGGCCGGTTCGGCCTCCTGCCCTCGTTCGTCCCCTCGGCGTTCATGTTTATACTCCGCAGCAGGTTTAAGGCCAAGTCGACCGAGGGGAGGAGCGGCACTGGTTCCGACTGCTTGCCACTGATGTTGAGCTCACTGCTGCTTCCAAGTTTGCTTCCTTCTCCATCTCAGGACTTGCACGACGTGGCACCCCTCGTTACCCAGGGAGGAGGAAGGGGGTTGGGGGAAGAATTAAATACGAGTGCCGAATGTGGCTCCAGGCCGGGGAGAGTGCAGCAGCAGATGGTGCTGCTGCATTCGTGCTCAGCAGGAAGTACACCAGGCGCGGGGCTCGAACTCGGACGCCAAGTGGCGCCTGCGGTCGATCCCTCCCCGCACCTCCTCCTCTTCGGAGCGGGCGACTCGCAGCACCCCGCAGCCCCCCGCAGCACCCCGCAGAACACCGCACCTCATCGTCGTCTGGTTAACCCCCGTGGACGCGGTGCCATGCTGCATTTTTACTGAGCGCAACTCGCATCATGATGTATTTAATATATTGTTTTACCCAGGGTGCTGTGCGACTCGGAGCCGCCCCGTGTGCAGTCGTGCAGGGCCTGGAGAAGGTTCTGTGACACGCCAATGATCTCCTCCATGTTGCCGAACACCAGGCTCACGTCGAGGCCCTCCACCTGCGAAAGGGTCAACAGGTAAAGGCGCAGCCCTGCGAGTGCTTGCTTGTACCATTGCTGGTGGAAGGGCCTCCACTTGACGGAGCTCTCGAGTGCCGCCACCCCCCTCTCCCCCACTGTCTAGGGGGAATTTGGCCTACTCTTCCAGGCTGGCCGGACATCTCTGAAAAAGGTTGGGTAACGCGCATTTTCCCTGTGGCACGTGATCTGCCGATTGACTCACTGTGGTAAACCTGTATGTGTATGTTGAACTTCTTTCGCGCTGTACGTAGTCAACCGTGCTAAATCGGAGGTGCAGGGGATGGACAACAAACTAACCACAAAATCAGTTCTAAAGAAATTAATTCTCAATCTAGAAAAACCTATTTACACTGCTGTGGCAATTACAGACTTGGAACAAACTGTCATTAATTATAGTTCCACACTATCTTCGATTCAATTCCTTCCTGTAAATAAAAAAAAATGGGTTTGACCGGTCACAGGGTGGATAGGAAAGTGCTGCCCCCCTTCCAGTGTGGACCTGAGCAGTAGTTCTATGATATCCACCTCCGTGGGCCATCATCCTCTGACGCGAACAACTGTACTGCTCCGTGGAGAATTTCCGGGTGCGATTTGGACAGCGTTCGGGATTGTTTTTTTCTTTTCAATCGCAAACTTTGTTGGAACCTTGCAGCGAGCTAACGAACGAGTCGGGTGCGGCGCGACGCCTTCCGCCGGCGTGGACGGCCTCACCTGCGTCTCGCGCAGTGGCGCCAGCATGAAGTCCACGCACAGGCGCAGGTGGTGCAGGAACATCGTCTCCGTGTGGACGATCTCCTGCACGGCGAGCTCCCGCTTCAATGCGGCGCCGCTCTCAGAGCTGCTGGGATTGCCGGGAGCTGGTGGGGGGGGGGGGGGGGCACAAGGGATTTAGGGGAGGGTTTAGTGAAGAAGAGGAGGGGGCAGCAGGGGTAGGGGGAAGGACACGAGAAATACAGTCTCTTGTTCTCCTATAACGCGGGAGTAGTTGCGTTCCTGAAGAACACCGCGTTATGGAAAAATCGCGTTATAATAATATAATATAGGGTAAGGCACAGTACGCGATAGCATGCGAGATGCACGTATGCAGGCTGAACAAAGACTGAGATGCGTGGGTAGCATCTACAAGCATCCAGCAGCATCCCGCTGCCTCGTGCGATGCTACACCGAGGCAGCCGTACAACCGCTTAGTCCGACTCGAGCGACGTGGTTCCGTTCACTCAATCGCGTCATTTACATTTCGTATCCGCGTCAGAAAAATAATGTGTTCCCTTCTCCATTCATCGCGTTGTATCCAATTCGCGTTATGAAAACCACAGGCATTACTGGAGAACAGACTGTGTATTAACGATGAACGTGAGATGCATTTCCTGCTCAAGTGAGCATTGAGGTGGTGCTATCTCCTGCGTACAACCCTGACTCGCGTGGTGGAACTCCCATATTCACCACGGCAGGGATGAGTCTCTCCATCGGACCAACACTGTTGGACTTTTTCCAGAGTGTTACTCATTTTATACATTCTGCAGGGATGATGGGCTGCGTCGACCAGGATGTGAACTTGAAACTTTCTGATTGGAAGCCGCTCGCTCGTCTGCTGAGCCACCGGGCTACCTGGTGGGTTCATGATAATGATTATAATAATGTTGTGTATACAAATATAGCTAGAATAAGTGTGTATGTGTACACAAGAGCTTAATTCCTCACTGGATAAAGTTATTCTTGGTTGCTGGTAGAACAGAGTAGGCACGTGATTAGTCAGGGTTCGTTTGTGGTGGGGTGGAGTGTGGGTACTCCCACCTACAAGTCGTCTGCCCAGTGCGGAAGAGTAGACCAAAGACCCTCTCGAGGGGCTCTCTAGAGTTCCCTCTAGTGGAAGCCCTTCTGCCAGCAGTGGCTCAAACGAGTAATTGCAGGGCTGCGCCTTTACTCCACAAAGGTAGGTTTGATTTTAATCAAAATTTGAAATAAATGTTTTTCTCTCCCCTGCCCAGTCTCTGTTCTGCAGTCAAAATGCAAATCCTCCTACAGAGGAGAGGGGAGAGGATGGGGGGGGGGGGGGGTGTGACATAATCAGTAGCCGGTGTCGCACACACCCGCAGTAGCACTCCACATGGACTCCGGGATCGGTGAGTGCGGAGAGGCGATTGCTGGCATGCGGCGCCGATGTTTTTTTCAAGTGTCACGCTCCTCGTGAAACAATGCCAGATTTGCGCCTGCGTCATCATCGGCCACGGTCGATCCACTGCTGGATGATAGCCTCCCCCAAGCCGGCGGTATCCCTAGCAATTTGGCGGGCGATGATCGACCGAGCACCCACACACGAGCTGATTTCATCGCTCCATCTCCCGCGGTGTACGTATTTGCCTAATGCGTTAATAATAATAATGCAATTTATAACGCGCGCAAATTTGCGGACTCTTGAAGGAGGCGATTGAGGTGATGCTGCGAATGTGCAGCGGGATGATGGCATTCCAGACTGTTGGGGCTGCCACCGAGAAGCGGCATTGCTGGGACCTGCACAGGCCTATTTTGCTGTTCTTAATGGTTTGGGCGATGTAATTAACCTGTGTATGTTCCTCTAATCCATGTGCACCTCGTCCTGTCTCTCCATGTAATGAAGACGAATGTGTGTATGTGATGCACGCAGTTGGGTCATGCACCGTGTATTTCTGTTGTTACCGCTCCACTTTGCTGTGGGCGATGAGAGAGGGGAGAGGTAGGAGAGTGTGCGTGGAGGGGAGGAGAGTGAGATGAGTGGGAAGAGGTAGGAGAGTGCGTGGAAGGGGGGTAAAGTGAAATGAGAGGGGAGAGGTCGGAGAGTGTGCGTGGAGGGGAGTAGAGTGAGATAAAGAGAAGGCAGGGGTGAGCCTGTGGAGGCGGATCGCTCCACGCCCATCTCACTCCACCACCACAATCCCGCGAGACACATTTACGTTTTTGTAAAAAGTTCTGTTTAATTAATTGCACAAAAACGTGTAATTTCAGCAACAACAAGAAAAACCTGCTGAATCCACAACAGACGACGCAGCGCAGATGTTCCGAATCATCGACGAGAAATCGCGCATTCATCTCAATCTGCACCCCTTATGTTCGGCTTCGCGCGACGGGACTCCGCGCGCTCACTCGCTCGCGGCGCCCCGTCTCGCCCTGCTGCCGCCCCGAGCCAAGATGCCCCTCTGGCGCTCAACTACCGGATGGGCAGACGCTAAATCCCACGGCTTACGCGTGGCGTCCGGGGGGCTGGGTGGCGGAGTCCGCTTCAGCTGACCACTGCTGCCCGGCGCCGGGCTGAAACTCAGCTCTTCGTAGATGTTTTCTGTCTCTGTCGTCGGGCATACGGGGCCACAACGTTCCACCGGGGCACGGTTATATTTTTGGCGCGTCTTGATGGAACTTGCGGTGTGTCTTTGGTCTGCGCGTGCGTGTTTGGCTATTAACCTTTTCCCGTTCCGAGACATCTGCAAGTTGCAGGGTGGGTCCCTGTTCACCACTGAATCTCGGAACGCGCAAGCGGTTGAGCGTTAATTGTATTTAGAGAAGCGTAGCGCTGTTGTTTTTAAAGACATTGTACTCGCTGCACAGAACTGTAAAGACACGGCCGCACTCTCTGATCGCTGGCGCCAAACGGTGCCACACACCCTCCCGCATGGACTTGTGGGAGCCTCAGTACCCCAAAGAAGTTCTTTATTTTATTTTTTATTCCGTTTCCATTCCGATGACGTACGCATATGTCATCAAAATACAATTGGGAAAAAAAAACTCATGACGTATGCGTACGTCATCGGAACTAGAAAGGGTTAACCGTGCGCCGAGCCAGGGCTGCGGGTCTCCAGAAAAGCAAAGTGAAATCTCACGCACGCAGAAAACACAAAGACAAAGATCCCCCGTATAGCCTTTAACAGACTGTTGGGGCAAGTGCTATTCGCGAGTAGCACCGATGAAGTGCGGCACGGTGCATGAAGGGGTGGGTGGCCAGCACCACCTTCTTTGTCTCCCCAGTGGTGATGTTTTACACACTGCTTCAGGTACTCATTTGAAGCTGAGTCGACCTATAGGTGGCCCAGGACCAGTTCAAATAATCTTCACTGGTGTTGGCCATGAACGTGAATCGAACTCGGGTCGTCAAGTTCGTAGTGCAGTGTTCTAACCACTGTACCACCGCTTCCCACACAGAAACACACACGTGCGAATGCACATATAAACTAAAAGTTCTCCCTCGAGTTGCCTAATAGACTGCTGGGGCAAACGTTGTTAGCGAGCACATTTTAAAGGTCCACATGGTGGTATGGATACTTATTCATGGCTACGATGAGTTTGGAGAGGCCCATCACCGGTTCAGACATTCGCCACTGATGTTAGCCGTGCAAGGAATTGGACTCGGGCCACTGGATTGGTAGTGTAGCATGTGACCATTGCACCACTTCTCTGCTTACGCTCACACACACACATACGAATCTCCCTTGCGCCTTGGTGGAGATCCACAATTTTCACGAACACCTCCTCATTGGAACAGACCCACAGTGATACGTGTAGTCCCTTGCCGGCTCGTGGCTCGAACTTGAGGAGGCTACAAACGCCACCCCAGTTCTCAGCTGACAATGAATGCAGGTGGATTCATTGGGATGCGTCGGCAGTGGCTTCCCCCGAGAACCGGTCTGGTGGAGCCCAGCACTGGTGCCGCATCATTAACATAAGAATTATTTTTATTTTATTAATTCATTCATCATCTTCGCGCGCCACCTTCCTTAAATCCACCTGCACAAATTATCAGCCGAGCCTGGAAAACCAGTAGTCCCGAGCCACTGCCGGGGCTCAGCAGGCCCGACTCCGTGCCACTCACCTTGCGTCCAGCTTTTGATGGCCTCATAATCGTCGTCATCTTCGGGAGGGTGGTCATAGATGAGGTCACCGGGAGGAGGGACGTCATAGATGGTGTCACCAGGGGTAAGATCATAGATGTGGTCCATGGTCCGCAGGTGCCGGGTCTGCTCCAACAAACAAGTGCACACGGTTAACCTGGCAGGTTCAGCATAGGGGCACCATGGTGGCAAGATGTTACCTGTCTCACCTGGTATACAGGAGGTCGTGGGTTCAATCCCGACGCCTATATATTTGTAGTTTGTATGTCTCTCTCCCCGTGATCGCGTAGATTTTTCCCCGGTTCCTCCAATTTTTTTCCCTCCACATTTATAAACATGCGTGTCGAGTATTTGGCTGCTTTTAACTTACACGCGATAAGCCACTTCGTTGAGCGATCATTTGTGGCCAGGTCGCTTCTAAAAGAACTATACAGCTCAGTGGGCCAAGTCTTCGGAGGTGGTGGGGGGTGATGCTGCTGTGTGTAGTCCCAATTGAGTGATTGGCAGTGTAATTGTTCAGGATTGGGATGTTTTGGCCAATACCAGTGTATTTAGCTGTGCAAGAAAACTGCAGAACCCGGAGGAAACCCATGCAGAACAGAGGGAGAACGTACAAACTCCACATGCATTGGCTCCCGAGTCGGGAATCGAACCCAGGCCCATGTTGGTGTTAAGCACGAGTGTCGCTACTGCGCCACTCTGCCCCATGAACAAACACACTCGTAAAATTGGAATTCACCAAACGTATTAATGCAGGAACCTCCTGAACAAGTGTCTTGAGCCTCAGTGAGGTTCTCCAGGATAAACAAATGCCACCATCATTATCATCGTCGTCAATATGATGAGCAATATTCCGCAGGAGTGAATCGCACGACATTCTGCTGGACACCCTCACTCATCACCACGGGGGGGGGGGCTCGTCTGTGCTCCTGGGAGGCAGGAGCTGGTGGATCCATCGGAGATTCATGAAACTCTCAAACCTCAGCGGAGAGATCTCCCTCGCTTAACCTAATGGACCGTTGGTGCCAATGCTGTTAGGGAGCACATATAAAAAAGTCAACATCGCGGTGTGGCCAGCACCATACCTGGCGGCCACTTTTGTCTTCACAAGTACCGATATTTACGCACGACATCGGCTACTCATTTGAAGCGGAGTTGACCAAGAGGAGGCTGTGCTGTGACCTCAAGCTGCGCTGTGGCCAGGGGAGGGCAGTCACAGCTGTTAGGATCGTGAACCCATCTGTGCAGAGCCTTGAGTGGGGACGGTGGGGGGGATGTTGGGGTTTCTCCAGGTTATCCGGTTTCCTGCCATTAGCCAAACGCTCATGAACGTAACTGGACGAACATCCCAATGCGAGGCAGGGTCCTCTTGCTCGGGAGCCTTGGGAGTCGGCGAGCGACGATTTCCACAACCATTAAAATGACCACGCGCGCTTTACAAACCGGCAGCAAACATCAGCGGCGCTGGATCGAATATCTGAGCCTCACGGCACGAGTCACTCAGCCTTACCACGCTGGGTACAAGCGCACGGCACGCGCCTGCCTGCCTGCCTGCGTGCTTCAGATCCACTTAGACCGCGGAACAAACACCGCGTCCCGTCAAACGCCGTGTCATCCAAGCGCAGGCACCAAGACGGGCAGATGGGGGGACGGAGGAGGCGGAGAGGGGGGCGAGGAGGAGGATGAGGGGAGATAGCAGGGAGTGAATGGAGATACAAGCAGTAGAGGGGGGAGGAGGATTGGTTGAGGGAGACACGAGGAGGAGGAGTGGAGGAACCAGTCGGAGCCCACTGGCACAGAGAATCAAAGCCTTGGACAGTGTCCGAGACAGTTTATGTCAGCTGGCAGTGACGGCGCAGTCCAGGCAGGCGAAGGAGGCTGTGTCATCGTAAGCTCGACGAGGCTATCCGCTGCGTCATCAAACATGACCCCAAGCAGGGGAGGCGCTGCCGCCCGAATTAAAACAACCACGTGATGAGCAAGAGGGGTGGTGGAGCGGGGTGGGTGGGGGAGATCAATGACGAATATTATAATTCTCCAAATTCCTCATCACTCGCATTTTACCATTCACTTCCTCCCCCAAACAAACGCAAACGGGGTCGGGAGCACGCTGCCGCACGCCCCAGATGGTCGCCAAACACGTGCCAAGCGACGTTGGCGAAGCACGAATTAACGCGAGGCGGCGCGCTCTGCCACGCCACGTGCGACGTACCTTAACAATCATCAGACGCGTGCAGCGTGTAAAACGACCTGAGTTGTATTGGGGAAGCGGCTACGTTGGTAAGCTCGGCACGATGGCAGCTTGGGCGACCGGTGGCTGCAGCAGGATGAATGGGGGGGGGGGGAGTCGCCACGGTGGCGAGATGTTAACTACTTCGCCTGGTATACAGGGGCACGTGGGTTCGATTCCAAATTTGACGCCTGTATATTTGGGGTTTGCGTGTCTCTCTCCCCACGGTCGCGTGGACTTTTCGCCGGAGCCTCCGGTTTTCCCCTCCGCATTTAGAAACGTGCGTTTAGAGTATTCGGCTGCTATAAATTTCCACACGATGAGCCACTTCGTTGAACTTTCATCACTTGTGGTCAGGTTGCTTCTGAAAATTATCTATAGAGCTCAGTCTTACTTGGTAAAATAAAAAATAAAAATTAAGGATTAGTTTAGAACGGCCGAGTGGTGCTCGTGATCAGCGACGTCCGTCGTTTGACTCTGAACTCAACGCGTCCTGGCGAGTGAGCGAACAACGCCAATCGGCAGGCCACCGTGCACGCCTTGGCCCCATATCATCACCTCGACAACAACAATAGCCAAGGTGTATTCTACACATCCCATAAAACCACACGCGTCTTGTGGGCAAGGGCATAATCTGAGCAACTTTGGCTCAGCGCAAGCAAAATAATATAATACAGCGCATCGATTTTTTTTTCTGCTCTTAGCATTGCAAACTTGCAGGCGCAAATTCAACCAATCTCAGCAACCCCAAGAAGTGTCCTGCGAATATCGATATCAGGCTCGGAATTAATTCCCATCAGGGTGCGCACACCCAAGTGAACTGATTAACAGTTGATTTACAATCATGCGACGCATCTCATGTGCCCCGGCGAGCCACCTAGCCAGTGTGTGCGTGTGTGTGCAGGCGTTCGACACTTCACGTGGCCTCAACGTGCACATAGCCTGGCACAAGCGTCGTGGTGACGTCACCGCCACTTAGTGGCGAATGGCGATTGTTGTTGTTGTGAGCGTTCGAAGGTGTGTGTGTGTGTGGGGAGTGGAGGTGTCGTGGTTAGTGCGCTGCACTACAAACCTGGCGACCCAAGTTCGATTCCCACTCACGGTCAACACCAATGACGATGATCTGAACCGGTCCTGGGCCTCGCCTAGGTCGACTCAGCCTCAAATAAGTGCCTGGTGCAATCTGTAAACATCGCCACGAGGGAGACAAAGGCGGCAGGGCGTGGTGCTGGCCACCCACCCCCTCGTGTGTCGTGCCGGCCTTCATAGGTGCTGCTTGCTCACAGCACTTGCCCCAAACGTTTGTTGAGGCTATACGGGGGAACATTGCCTTTGTGTGTGCGAGCGAGCGGAGAATCGTGGCCATAGGGAATTGTGACGAAATAATTCGACGCGGTGCCTTTATTCATTAATTTAGTCGACGAAAACTGTGAGTGAGCAAAAATCACCGAGCGTGACGATGGCTGCTCTGCTGGCATGCTGCCTCGCAAAGAGGTCAAAAGGTGACCGGGACGGCGCCGAGCGACACGAGATTGGCTTGGATGGAGACGCACAGAGATGCGTCACCATAACGTTACCAGAGGCCGCAGTGCGCCGAGCATAACACAGCAATGGTAGTTACCCATCATATGCATAATTTAACTTATTTATCCAGGAGAGCCACGCCGAGATGCATCACATTCGTTTTGTTGTTATTACTTCAGGATGTTTACAGCCAATTAACGAGACTACACGTGGGAGGAAACCGGAGACACGCGGAGAAAACCCACGCACGTCGTGCGAGGGGGCGACGCTCAATCCCCGTACGGATGGAAACAGATGGAGATGAGTTCAAGTGCTCTAACGCCATCTCCTGGCGTGCCACGGTATGTGGCACCTCCTTGGCGCCCACGGGAATGGAGTTCCACAGCACTTGTGTGCGGTGATCCACCAACTCTCTCTCCGCTGCCTCCACAGTACTGGATTACAGGCCAAGCGCGATACCTCCACCAGCACCCGCCTATATATATACATACACACGGGTGTGTGTGTATGTATGTATATTAATTCACTGATTGACATGATAATATTGGTGCGTGGTATGGGCAGCGGGGAAATTGCGGCTAAAACATATTCTGGATAATTTAACAGTGGTGAGGGCATGCGTTTGTAGGTGTGCGTGTGTAGGTGTGCGTGTGTAGGTGTGCGTGTGTAGGTGTGCGTGTGTAGGGTGTGCGTGTGTAGGGTGTGCGTGTGTAGGTGTGCGTGTGTAGGGTGTGCATGTACGGGCGTGGTGCTGGCCACCCACCCCCTCGTATGCCATGCCGGCCTTCGTAGGTGCTCGCTAACAGCACTTGCCCCAACAGTCTGTGAAGGCTACACGGGGGATCTGTGTGTGTGTGTGTGTGCACGCGTGTGTGTGTGTGAAGATTGGTATGTGTTCAGGTTGATGAAGTTCAAATTGATTTTGTTTTACCGGTTGATAACTCGGAGCCCAAGATGGGAGTCTCATCTGCAAGAGTAACCTGGGTCACCCAAATTAAGGAAGGCAAAATAAATAATATAAAGTACAGACAGTGATTCCATTTAGTTGCATGGAAGCGAGGGGTGGGTACATGAGCGAGGGGTGAACGAGTGAGCAAAGTATGAGTGTGTGTTTGTGTATGCGAGTATGAGTATGTGAGCAAGTATGTGTGTATGTACGGAAACGTGTGTGTATGTATGTGAGAGAGTGTGTATGTATGTGAGCGGGTGTGTATGTGAGGGAGTGTGTAAGTACGTGAGCGAGTGTGTAAGTACGTGAGCGAGTGTGTAGTAGTGAGCGAGTGTGTATGTGAGCGGGTGTATATGTGAGTCAGTGTGTATGTGAACGAGTGTGTGTGTAAATGAGTGTGTATGTGAACGAGTGTGTGTGTAA